CATCATCATCAGTGTACATTATTACAACATAATTAGGACAGAAATGATTTGAGGTGGGATGAATATGGCAATTCACTTTTTTGAAAGATAGTTCTATTCACAGAAATTTTAGACAGCATAGCTAACATTCCAAAAATTGACAAGGATTTCTGATTTTGCAATTTTAATTTAATTTGTCTTCGTTTTATATTAGTTTGATGTTTAGTTAGAGTTAGAATTAGATGGATTATTTGTTCAGTCAAAGCCTATACAAATAGGTAGTAATAAAATGGGTTCTTTATTTGGGTCACTTGGAATTAGGATTAGTTGTCATTTTTTAACTTTTTTTTTTTTTTTTTTTTTTTTGCAACATTCTATTTTGAAATATAATACGTATGTAATAGTCTTAGTGAAACTTGGGGACCCGGGGATTGAGTGGTTAAGAGATCCAATTTGTAATTACCTAGTGGTCCTAGGTTCAAATTCCAGCATAGCCTAAACAATTTTAATTTAAAATAATATAACAAAAATATTGTAAAGTGTTATGACCATTTGTTCACTACATCCAATGGGTAGTTAAGCTTTACGTTATCTGGAAAAAATTGTGTATGGCTACAAATTGCTTCATAATTTCATTAAGGCATATTTTAATTTCATATTTGAAGAAATAGTTTTAGAAATAAATAAAACATTTTTGATCAACAACAGTATTAGCTCCAATATTCACATGCTAGAAAATTAAGTAGTTCATTAAGGAAATTACGATATTTAAAACTATTATTATTATTGTAGATAGGGCTGGTGCACAATCTTGCTCAATGATCACCTGATAAAAGAATCTGTAGCAGACTGCTTTAAAAAAAAAAAAATCTTTGCAGTTTTCTCTTTTGTTTTTGACTTTGAGTAAAAATAAATAAGTTTGCCAAAGTGTAAACATTCATTAAATAAGTTTACAATTTTCATAATTATTACCACCAGTGGTTCTGGATGTATATAAGGCTGTTGTGATAAAATATAAATTGGATTTTGGTTCAGACACATTCATTTTGTTGCCAGTATACGATTTAACGATTTCCTTGTGTTGAACTTCAATGGAAAAGACTTTTCTCTGCATTTTGTCAACTAATCTGTCATATTTTTAAGCATGGTCTGACCTTAACTTTCATTTAATTAATTTTCTTTTAATTTCTACATAAAGTTTATTATGAGTTCCAAGAGAAGAAGAATCAGAATGGTGAAACAAGTAACAATCTTGTGGTTTCTGTCGGACAGTCAAGCCTTTAACAGAAACATCTTGATTTTAAATTTGACTTCTGAAACTACAAATAAACGTTAAATAAATAATAATGTGTGCAATCGTGGATTGCATTCATCAAAGTTAACTTGATATAAAACTAATGTAACTTTTCCCCTTTTGAATTTTGCTACATCCTTCCATTTAATAGATTAGCTTATAAAATATGATGCTTCATAGTTTTAATGTTCAACATTTCCTTGGAATTTGTAAATAATTTTCCACGACATGTATTATTCATATGATCAGTTTTTTTATTGTTAATCACGGTATTTCAAATTCAGTACATCCTGCACATAAATTAACCAGTTATGCAATTTAGATTTTTTTAAATGTTATTCCTACATTTTAAAAATTGCACAGGATTAATTAATTGTCAAGTATGGAAAGACATGAAAGAAACAGTAGATGTTAAAAGTATGAAAAAACTAAAGAATTAATTTAATAATTAAAACAATTATACTCACTTCGTTTTAACTATTTCTACTAAGATTTGATTTGATTTTTTTAAAATATTTTGATTCTGTAAATGTTTCCTGATGTAATGTTTGAATAGTCTGTATTCTGATCGACATTCCTGAAAGGTGATAAACTCCCCATTTGGCAAACATAGTTTATTAGCACTCCTCAGTTTAGCGAGTAAACATGTGCGTACAGATTTGCGACAGGTGATTACCAGTTTGTTAGATCATGGTTGACCTTACCGAGCGGCTGCTTTTGGCCTGTGTATAATATGCCAGGGCAGCAGGCGAAGGCGCGGGTCATGGTTTGGCGCTGGCATTACAGCACTGCATTTGAGGGGGGGGAATCTACTGTAAATAAAATTGTAACTAATTCGTACAGGCCTGTTGTACCAGAGTAGTCAAATTTTGATACTAGTATATTTAGAAGAAGAAAAACTGATTAAATTAAACCAGGAATGTTATGTTTTTGTTGTCAATATTTTCCAAGTTACTCGGTTAAAAATAGCCGATCTCATTCTATAAAAGTCTCTTGACTGTTGCAGTATTAACATTTACTCAATGTCATCTTGTATTATTCAAACAATTCTAATATAACAAAGGAATAATCAATTAATGTTCAGATTTTTTAAATTTAATGATAAAATTGTTTAAACTTAATGTAAAATGTGTGGAAATGTTTTGTTCATTTAGGAATTTGACCACTTTTCTAGCTATTTAGCTAATTTCTAAAGGCCGTATTGCGCTATGGCTTCACAGTCGTGTAAGACATGGCCTGGTGTCTATGCTTCCTTGCAGAGTCAGCAGATTTGCATTTGGCTTTGCCCATTTTTTAAGATTGTATTTTTGCAATGACAGAGCCTTACGAGATTTCCCTCAATTGAAAAAAACACAGAACTTTTTTTATGTAGGTTATAATTCAATTTTAGAACAATTAGATTTGAGATTGAGTGAAAATGAATTGAAATCTAAATAAGCATAAGTTTTCAAACAGTCAGTTGTTGTCAAAATATTTACCAGATGCCATATCTTCAATGAACCATAATAATTTTTGTTTACTTACAATCATATTAAATAGTGAAAGTCCACTTTTATAGCATGAAAGGTTGGACAAATATTTATGTTTTCATAAGGTTTGAGCGCTTCTCTTACTGTGCTTTTGAATGATTATTTAACAATCACCCGACCATAACCAAAATGGTGCAAAATAATCGTTTTGGCCATTTGGTCCAAAATGTTACGATGAACAAAGCCGATTATTTGATTATTAAAAAAGGTATGTTTGATTAAGTAATTAAAGACAGAAGTAATGCAAATTTAGGCATAGTCCATTTTAAATAAATGCAATATTTTTTTAGAAATTATCATAATTTGATCCATTTGTCAAATTAATCAATAATCAACTAAATTTAGTTTAATTAATGTAATTTTAGCCTGGAAATGGAAATGTCATACTATTTGCTGCAAAATTATTAATTTACTTTATTTTGTTTTTTCTCTTGCTCCATTGTTGTTGATTATACATTTCTTGGAAATAAATTAAGTAAAAAAATTTTTTTTAGCAATTTTGTATTTTTAATGTTCCCTACAAAAGAGAGAATATTTTTTTTGTCCAAAAGCTATAGAGCTCATGATAAATTTATCTCAAGTTCTGAATTTAAAGAGATGTAAAGCGCTGAGTCACATTCCACATTTGTTAGATAAACCATTTTGAACAGTCGTAGAATTTTAATTTTTGCTGGTTCGTTTCATCACTTCAAATTTATAAAATTTGATTTCCCCATTTTATAGTCAAAGTAATTCCATTTAATCTGCGATAAATATAGCACAATTGGCAAAAAAATCACTGTTAAATAATTTAATTGCTCTTAGTTTGCTATAATAATAATCAATATGAGAGCAATATTTGTGTAGTATAAATATTACTAAGAGAGTGTCTTGTCAAATATTATTATATTTTATTTATTTTTATTTATTTAAGGCAGAGGCATATACATAAGTTTACGGCTGGTGGAAAGTTTGCAAGGCAATTATCAGTTGATTTTTGGTCACTAAATTAACAAATGTAAGAATAGCCAGCTCCAAAGCTGTGATAACTCTTTATCTGTATTGGGATAATTAAGAGGAATCAAAGGTGTGATTAATAAAATCTCAAGTGCATTCAACTTCTTTTGTTTGATTCACATAGCGCCTGAATTGCATATTTACAAAAAAAAGGGGGGCAACGTGAACTTTTCAATAGTTTAATTGTTACAATGAAGTTTTATACGTAATTCATATACATGTATATACACAACAGGGACTACGGTGGCTGAGTGGTTAAGGCATCTCGCATATGCTAACTGTTCTGGATTGGAATCTCTGCATAGCTCATGGAATTTTAATCGGTTAATTAAGTAAAAAGTACCGTAAAGTGGGTTAAGCCCTCATCCATAACACCCAATGAGTTGGACATAGACGTATGACAGGAATATAAAGAAAATATTCATAGGAAAAGTATTATTTCCCATAGTTCAACTCTACATGCTAGAAATGTCACTATAGACTGATATTTGTACTAATAAAACTAGAATTAAAGCTTGTTCCTCTGTTAGAAATTTAATACGCCTTTATGAAATTATTTATTCAAAAGAAACATTTACAATGGTGAAAATTTTTGATTGAAGTTAGTTTTGAGTCTAAGTAAAAATTTTAACCAGCAGAATTTTAACAAATTTAAAATTTACATGGAAAGACTTGATCAAAGTGAAAATTGTTAATTGAAAGTTAGTTTTAGCTTTCCCAAAATGAAATGAGCAAGGAAAAAATGTGGCACATACTGCTTGCAGCTGGATTGTTTTTTTGTAAAATTACAACTTGATTGCATTTTTTTAAAATGTGCTTTGAAAATTTTAATAAGTAGTTAGCAAATTTAGGATGTAAAAATGAGAACCTGGTAAATTTGGTCATTATAAAATAGATATATCCATAAAAAAATGTTGAAAACCTAAATTTTCATTTTTTTAAAATAATTTTTATTCGGGGGAATATTGGACTTAGTTTAACATGTTTTACATGTAATATTGTGATTCTCAATATTGCATCATCACAAGTGTGACTTATTGCATCAACATTTGTCTCTGAGCCTCTCCATTTGTAATGCTTTTATTCTTGTAAAAACTATCGTTTTGTTCAGTCCAATGGAAATGTATAAAATAATTTTAAAAGGTTTTATATTTCGGGAAGGGAAAAAAAATTGTTCGTAATTTTTTTTCTGCCTGTTTCAGGGGATAACCCACCAGTCTCTGGTGATAAAGAAAGTTGTACTCCATGTGGGAAAGGAGCGAGGAATATATTCGGGTTTGCTCATCTGGTGGGATTCAAGACTGCAATGGCCAGTACAATAACAAACATGAAAGTGACGAATCCGATCAAGGGGCTGGTGAGCAAAAGAAGGAAACGATACACAAAGGACGGATTCAATCTGGACCTGACATGTGAGTTCGACAGTTGAGTTTGGCAGACAAATTGACAAAAATTTGATCAACTGCTTTTTCTCTGATTTCATTAATTTTTAAAGTTTAGATTTGAGAATTTTATTATATATATTTTATTACAATTCAGAAAGGTGTATGTTAAGAAAACAAAGGTCTAGGTTTACTCATCAGTTGGTTAAACAATGATCTGAGAAAAATAATTATTCATTCTTAAGTTATGGATAAACTTTCCTCACAGATTAAAAAAAAAAAAATTGAAATCATTCAAAACTGATACACTTTAATTTTTCATGTAAAAAGTATAAAAACTTTTAATGTTTTGCTTAAAGAGTTAAGAGGTGAAAATGGCTTTGTATTAACCATGAACCAGCACAGTGATATGACCTTAATTAATTTCAATTCAATGCACGACATTAAATTGTTGATCAATGAATATGAAAATGGCAGTTGGATTAATCTGTCTTGCCTCCATCTTGCATTTCCTAAATTATAAATGTGAATTTATTTTCCAGATATACGAAACAATCTTATTGCTATGGGATTTCCAGCAGATAGGCTGGAAGGGGTGTATAGGAATCATATTGATGATGTTGTTAAGTTCCTAGAAGCAAAACACAAGGACCACTACAAAATCTACAATCTGTGAGTAGTCTGTTGAAATGGGTGGAGTTGAGGAATGAAACGGGATTTTTTTTAGGTGTTCTGAGCGGTCCTACGATGTGAGCAAGTTCCAGCAGCGGGTTGCCAATTACCCATTCGATGACCACAATCCTCCCAATATCGAGGCGATAAAGCCTTTCTGCGACGATGTAGACAAGTGGCTGTCGGAAGACTCGTACAATGTTGCAGCGGTGCACTGCAAAGCGGGCAAGGGCCGGACCGGGGTCATGGTCTGCTGTTACATGATACACGCAAGGCAATTCCTGACCGCTAATGAAGCCCTCAATTTTTACGGGCAGATGCGCACTACCGATAGGAAGGTGAGAATATATTTACGGTTTAAAGTTAGTTTTTAAAACTAGAATTAATTAACAAAATTTCAAGACAAAATTAGTTAAAAATATGTGAACTTTAGTCTGATCTAATTTTTTTGGACATCATTTAAACCCAAATATTCATTCCATTCAATAAGTGCAGAGTGATCTTACAAAATATAATTTCAAACTTCATCCTCCTAGATTTGACAATTGTTTGAACAAAGTTGGACATTTGGAAGTGTCCAGCCAGCATAACACTGATAAAATTATTTCTTCTTTGTCTTTTTCACAATAATCTTCTTTCTCCTTGATGTATATAAGAATCTATTTGTAGTTGGTGTCAGATTATAAAATGTGCAGAGTACAATGAATAATTTCTTTGTTTAAACTTGGAAATTCCTTTGCTATGTGTCAGAGGTGCATAGGAAGATTCTACATAAAAACTAATTCTACCTAAAAAGTTCAAGATTTAAACGGGTAAAATCTATTTTCCTAATTCTAAAAAAAATTCCCAGTTTTCCTCCTCGTGGTTTTTTTAATATATAAATAATACTGTACTGTATTTTTTTTAAATCAAGAAAAATACATAAGTACATAATTCATAATATTTGATAAATTTCTATGAATCTTAAAAAATAAATTGTACATATGTTTACGCCTGTAAATTTTAGTTTTTGTAAATAGTTTCATATGCTTAATCCACTAGTAGCAATAATCCCTATCAGTGAAAAAAAAACTTGCTTCCTCACTCTTTCCATTCCATTTTCTTACGAAACACCTCTTTCAAGTTACTTCTCTTTTTTTCAATTTGAAATTTATTAATTTTAATATTAAGTTATGCAAGTGCTTTCCCTTATTTATTTACCCAAGAAATATCAATTCCGAGAAAATTGGCCAAAACTGTTAGCTGGAGACTACGGCATACTCAAGCCCAAAGTTGCGTCTTCGTATTGAGTTCTTCTTGGGTTATTTTCGGGCTGAACTTCAATTATTTCATTTTACCTATTTATATATACCATAGTCCCCTTTTGATATACCTTTAATTAAATTCCTTCTTGGGTTTACAAAGATCTTTTGAATCGCTATTAAACAATTAAACAAATATATATTTTTTTAAAATTAATTAAAAATCGATCTTACAATTAGTCTATTTTTTAAACTCGATAAAGATATTTCATCTTCAGGAATCTATTTAATCTATGTTACAAATGGAATATATACAATTTTTCTTCTTAGGCCCATAAATATGACCTTTCTTGAAAGAAAATTAATCAGATAACTTTCCTCCGAGATTCCTTTTTTTAAAGCTACAAAGATAGCTTATTCAAAGCGGTCTGCCGCTCAATTGTGTGCCCAGTGTTGGGGATTTCAACGACAGGAGTTGGTGGAAAAATTTCAACGTTTCTTTATTAAGAAGTTGTTTGGGCTCCCCCTCATAACACCAAATTACATGGTTTCCATTGGACCTCTCTGGTTCTTGTTTTCACCATCTGTCTCCATGTTAGATACTGCATCAAGACTTTGAATCTGCCTACTCACCGCCTTTCTTGTTCTCTAGCCTTAGAGGTTATGAAGAAAAAAACATTCTGGTTCAAGCACTGGGTTAATTTGGCGGAAAAGTACTCATGCCCTTTTGACTCCAACTTCCAGGATCTGGATAAATGGTGTGCCCAGTCAAAGGATGGATGAATGTTACCGGGAAGTGTGTGTGCGGTCGGCTCGACAGTCCAACCGTTTTCTTTTATAAAAAGGTCTGCAGTACCCCCTACCCTGCTGTCCCTTAATTCAGGAAATACAGATCTTTCTCCCAACGGAGCTGAGCTGGTTTTTTAAATTAAGAGGCGAGTTGCTTTATCTTAACTACACTACGTGGTAAGAAAGAGAGTGTTCTGTGCTCTTTGTAACCTCAGAGAAAAGGAGGATATGATCCATTTCTTGGGTGTATGTCCCATCCTCTCGGAATTTAGATATCCCCATACATGTCACAGCAGGCTCAGCAGAGCCCAGATAATTGAATTCCTTAATGGCAGGAACAGTCTGCAGCTGATCAGATTCGCATAACAAGCTTGGTCGTATCGTCATGATCTAATTTGAGAATTCAATTATGATCCTTTTCCTTTTTAATTTAGTATCATTGTATTATTATCTTATTTTTATTTATATATATATATTTTTTTATGGTTGTGGCTTCAACCTCCGGCAGACGGTTTTTATCCATGCCATTATTTTATGTTAAGGCATATGTTTTGTTTTGTAAACATTTTTGTACTAATAAAGCATTATTATTATTATTATATTATTATTATTATTATTACTATTATTATTAACATTATTATTAATAAATAACAAAGAAAAACATCAGTATTTGTAGTAATTTACTCTCTATTATTTACAGGGTGTAACAATTCCGTCTCAAAGAAGGTACGTAAATTACTATGCCACTCTTGTCCAAGAAGGTTTAAACTACTCAGCGGTCGATGTCATTATAAGAGAGATAAGGTTGGAACCAGTACCTACTCTTTTTAATGGGACTCAAGGAAGTAAGTAATGAATTGTATTTTTCAATTTCTAGTTCGATTCTTTAAATTAACATTTTTTTCAAGGTCTCCAATTTGTGATCTCACAAGGTACAGACAAAGTGTTTGTATCGGTTCCCTATGAAGTTAAAAAAGGCTGCTCAAGTATATGTATTCCCCTTGAACAGTATCGTTATGTGAAAGGTGACATTAAAATAGAATTCTTTAGTAAACAGAAAATGAGAAAAGTGAGTGAATTGAATCTAGTGTTTGAATCGGAAACAAAAAAATTTAAAATTATAATTTTTTTTTTATCTTTAAGGAGAAAATGTTTCATTTTTGGTTTAATACATTTTTTGTACGGGACGAAGTCGATAGTAAATGCGGTTCAAGAGTAAGTTGTGAAGGCGAGAACGGTAACACGAACCATCATCAGAACCATCAGTTGGAAATGTTGCCTGAAAGATCTCTAAGCTGTGAGGGGCCGACAACAAATTCTCATCAGCATCACAACACAAGGTGTGTATTTCACTAATAACAATCAAGCTGACATTAAACCTGACAATCACAAATCAAAATTAAACAATTTTTATATTTCAGGGCAAGCTCTCTATTAGACTTAGAGACGGAATCTAAACTGGTGGCACTTAGGATAGATAAGTGGGACCTGGACGATGCTCATAAGGACAAAGCTAATAAATTATATCCTGCAGACTTCAGAGTAAGTTGACCAAGTGGATAAAATTCCTGAGCTTTTTTTTTTTACATTTCTCTTAAATTTTTAGGTTGTAGTGGTCATGTCCAAGATTGGTCAAGGTAATAGGGACAGCTCGTTGTGGAAAAGAGATGTCCCTAAAGTGGTAAAGAGCACACCTTCTGAATCTTCCGAGGCGTCAACGGAGTCATCGACGGATGAGGATGGATGGGAATCAGGTAGGATCCTGTTTCATTGGCGTTAAAAGCATGTTTCATTGTAAAATTTTTGATAAGTATATTTAAAAACCTTTTGGAGACGGGTCTGTGTTTTTATCAGTTGAATACGGACATACCGAAGGTACAAATTTGCATGTTCATTGTCCTGCATGTATAAAATGACATTTCAAAGACGATTACATCATTTGAACACCTCATTTCGGGGATTCGCTTTCCCCCCCTCTTTCCCCTAGAAACGGAAACGTTCTTGTTCAATATCACCTCAAGGCAATTCATAATAAATTGTGTGAATTTTTGACCTGAATTATAACAACTTGAGAACATCGATCATCAAAGAAGAAACTACCACATGTCAAGAAAGAAGATGTTTAAATATATATATAATTTATTTTTATTTTTTGACTCACTCTATTTCAGTTGTACACTTGTAAATTTTTCAACTTTTATTATTTTTTAACCTAAACAAAACACTGTTTAACAAAACAAAAAATTGGCAAATTTCACTATTTCTAAGTATATCATTTTAAAAATAATGAAAATTATTAAGTATAATATTTAACAAGGAGAAGAGGCTATGTTGGACACTGATTTCAATGAAACTTTTTTTAGTGTTACTAGGTCGAAAAATATTAGACATGTTTCTAAGGGCTCTGTACAATGGACACCAGGAGCCAAAAAAAATTTTAAAAATTATTATGTTCTCAAAGCTAGCACTGATCGCAGCTTTCTCAATCAATTTTAATGAAATTTTAAGGGATCTGTTAGTACATCAAAAAAAATTACATATGTGTATTAGGGTTTGGCAAAATTAGCCCCAGGAAGCCCATAATAAAATGTTAAGTATTGTGGTTTACTTCGGTTTATTCTAAGAATATTTAGATTTCTTCATTACTGCAGTGTAAATACATTAACAAATTACACTGCCCATCAAAAAAACCGACCATTTGGTTTTTGCACGCTTTGTAAATGCATATTTTCTCCGCCTTATCAGGAGAGAGGATGATTGATTTTTTCCATGAACACTTAAAAAAAAAACATGATTTTTTCCCAAAAATCATGAATAACTTGAAAACAGCTGAGAAATCAGGTGACCAATTAAAAGCTTGTTAAAAAAATTTCCTATGGATTGCTATAGGGTGCTGCTCCAGGATGATTTCCTGGCCACACAGCTCTATTTGAAGTTTTTGTTAAAAAAAAAAATGTTCCTGAAATTTTGAGTTAACAGATGAATGACTGAAGTTAGGAAAACATTTAAAAAATCCATCTTGTTCAGCATAAAACTTTATAAAAACGCACAGACCTGTGACTTAAAAGGCTGAGAAAATATGCATTTCCAAAGTTTGGCAGTGCATAAGACCACCCCCTCAGTATGAAGTACATTTGTAATTTGAAATTGTTCTTAATTTCCATCTAGTGAGTATGAAGGTGATACAAGAATGCGAGTAAGAAAGAAATCTAAAGCGGTATTAATTTTTGGAGCGTAGGTAGCCGCAACAGTATAGGCATTGACACAGTGCTTAGCACTGTAGGTAATGTTCCTGGTTCCAATCCAGCAACCCTGCATTCCAACCCGACAAATTAAAAAATGTGCTTTTTTTTTAAATCGCCGGTACCCCGAGGTTGATATATGCCCTCTGCTGTTGTGAACTATCGTAAAAAAAATAAAATAAATAAATAATAAAAAAGCCTAAAGTAGCAATGAAGTAAGAAATCTAAATTTGTAATCCTTTTTATTAATTAACAAATTTTGAAATGAACTTTTAGCCTTTTGCAGAGACAATACATCACACTATTTCACATTTTATTACAAGCTTTTTGGGGCTAAATTTCACCAATCACCAATGCACGTGTCTAATATTTTTTGATGTACTAACATTCCTTAAAATTTCATTCAAATTGATTGAGAAACTGTGAGCAGTTTTGTAAGTGCAATTTTTGGGCTTTTGCACATGAAATACGTTTTTCCCTTGGGATGGAACGCTTGAAAAATGTCGTTTTTCGACCTTGTTCACCGGAAAAAAAATGTTTCATTGAAATCGGTGACCCCCATGTAGCCTCCCATTGTAACAAATCATTCAATCATTAAAATTCTCTCTTTCATATGGAGCTTTGCACGTGATCATAATATAGTTACTTTGCTTTAATGCCTATTAAGTCCATTATTTTGGCGCTTTCAGCCATAACCGTGGAATTGCAGAATGTGACGGTTACTGTGATTTTTCATTTTTGCCTGTTTCAGCATTTATTTTGAATTGAGTTGATCACATTGTTACAAGTTTATTATAAACTTAATATGCTTGTTTCATGGAAAATATGGTGAAAATCCATAGACATGTTATTGTGTTAGTTTTTCCTCATAGGGAGTCTTTTGTTTTATCAAGTTTGTTGTAACCACTACTGTTACAATATATCTTTTTTTTAATTACATACACACTTAAATGATTTGTTTAAATTTTATGGTACCCATTTTACTGGTTTTGATTTAATTGTATTTGGTTAAAATTAATGTCTTAAAATTGTAATTTTTTTAACAGCAGTTATAACAATAATTATTGTGCTGTAACACATACCATTTTACAGTACTTTTCAAATATATTCAAATATAGAATTTAGAAAGTTTATTCAATATGTGCTCCAATTTCTCATTTATTATTCTCTAATTTATTCTGACGAAAGGCTTTAAACCCATTTTTCTAATGACATTTGCGAAAATAATTTCAATGAATCTTCTCTTAATCTTAAAAAATGTTTCGACAAATTCAATAACTTGTGCATTAATCGAACTTTTAAGCCTTGAACCCAAGCTCAATGAGCATAAAACAGCATCAAAAGAGAGGGGAAATTAAGAAAAAATAAAACAGAATCATCTATAATAACAGCTGAAAATAATCAATGCCGTGGAAGCATGGAAGACGATTCCCACATTTTTCGTGTGCAATTCGGAACTGTCGAGATATCAACCAATTAGAAAATGCTGTTAAAAAGAAAAAAAATTATAAGCCGGGGCAAGTAATTTTAATTATGTACATACTGATTTCTGATTTTTATATGCTCAAATATGCGCATGCTTGTAAACAGTTGAGCCTATCACTTCTCGCAGTCCACCAGCAATTCCAGCTTTTACAATTTATAATAAATTACTGGCAGGACATGACGACTGACCTGACAGGAACAGAGGACTGCCTCATTGTTGGCAGTCCGGGGCAGCTAAAACTTGTAGGGACGCAGCTAGCTAGAACCCTGAAGATGCGTGTTGATGCCATGACTCCTAAATTCAGTTTTGACAAACAGTTTATAATCAAAATACCTTGTAGAGCTGACGGGGAGAAGGGATTTTTTAAATTAATATTGTTGATTTGTTAACCAGTTTATGCAGACGGTATCTGGTTTACAAGCGACTTCAAAACGAATACGGGTCAGGAGCTGGCATTTATGGAAATAAACCAAGGACTAGAATTCATATAAGCCTTGGACGTTATTCTACCGTCTTTCAAGTGGAAACTGTGGCTATTGAACACTGTGCTAAGAACTATGTAGGCTGAGATTCCTAATCCTGGTAGAGGAAAAGCCAGGGTTGAAGAATACATATAGGAACCCCTGAAAAAGCTTTGGGGTCTGTTCAAAAGCCTTACGCTTAACAAGGAGCTCTAGATAAAAACTAGACTAACTCGGATCGCAATTTGCTGGTCGTAAAGAGGCCGGGTGCTATATAATCTAATCTGATCTAGGGTACTGGAGTTCTAGATATTTCTCCATTACCCTTTACACTTACTTATATAACTAGTTTAATTGAGGGTTGATGGGGTACTCAATATTCCGCCATTGGCCTTCTCACACTATACATTCATGGAAATAAATACATTCACTCTCAACACACCTAGGAGGACCTAAATACTTGCTGCCATGTTCAAGCACGATTTTTATATGTTTATTTCCTACACGCTCTCTATATGGAACCTAGTAATGGCACTCTTCAACTACAAGGGGCATATTGAGCAATTTTTTTTTTTTTTTTTTTTTTTCATGCAAGATAAATAATGATAAAAGTGTCCACGTGTCAACCTTGCATGGTCTTTATTTATTCAGGTGAATGAATTATGTACATGCATATTTAATTTGTTTGTACTTCAATTTAAAAAATTCTTTGTGTGCATTTCTTGATATGTATTTTTTATTACACATTTGTCTATATATTTTCGCACTACATACTACATTTTGAAATAAATATTTTCCATTTTTAGCCATTTAATCTTATCCTGGCTGGAAGAGCATTATAATGAAGTTTTAGTGTATAAAAAAATAATTAAAACAAAAATTTCAACAATTTCGTGGCACTTGGTTTTTTTTTTTTTTTTTTTTTTTTTTTTTTTTTTTTTTTTTTTTTTTTTTTTTTTAATTTCATAAACTTGAAATAATTAAATATTGCCGACGTGAAACCACATCTTGAGAAAACCATGCGGTCTTGTTTGACCTTTGACAATTCCAGTGGCTTTACAATTCCACTTTTTCTTCTTTCATGATATTTATTTAATAAATATTGCATAAATAAAACAATAAGTACAATCTAGTACTCTTATTGAATACATTTGATGTAACAAAAAGACAACCCGTTTCAGTTTTAAGACATCTGCTAGGAAAAATATGTTTTATACATACTTGACATGTTTTCTGTGATCATTTAATTTTAAATTACCTTTTTTTTACTTGTAACAGTATTTATATATTTTGGCATAAAGAGCATGCAGACCATTATTTTAAATTTAATGTAAAAAAGCATTGTGTGCCCTCATGTGTATGCATGTTTGAGCAAACAGCAAAGAAAAATATACCATTGTATATCTTAATAATAAACAGAATGTTTAAATAAAATATTTCATTTTATACTTAGCTTATTCGTAGTTGAAAAATAACAGCAGTTAAAACAATAAGATACATTGCAGTATATTATGTACAATACATATAGTAAATTGTAAACAATAAGTTAACGCCTAGTTTATACTAAGTGCAAACAATTAATTTATTTTTCAAGAAATATATTTTTTTTAAATCCCAAATAACTTGCAAAATTTAATCTACAAGGAAATCTAAACGTGAAAATTAAGTTATTCACCAAATTGTTAAGAAATGTGCTTGCCCTGGCTCAGCCCATTTGTTATCATTGTTATCATATCCTTTCATATTTAATTATTGATTTAGTTTTGATTTAAGTCATAGTTAGCTAGCTTTTGGCAGTGTGTGTAAATTAGTAGTGGTAATGTTTAGTTGAAGGTGAGGTGGGGAGGTACAGCCTTTTAACCGATTCGGAGACTCTGCTAACAGAGCGGCTCTTTCCTTCCTGATTCGACCGTGGTGATGTTTTGGTAAGATTTCCATTTAGGAAAAACAATCGTATTACCCCTGCGCCTTTGTCCTTCGCACTGCCTTTTATTTTGTGTGTTTTTTTGTATTGTCATACCAAGATAACACAAGTTGTTTTAAGCATGTTTTTGTATATATACATAATTTTTTTTGCTTAATTTCATTTTAAGCTTGTGAACACTTAAAAACCATTTTTTTTATCTAATATTATTATTAAAATAAACCTTTACCTCTTACATTATCTAGGATAAAAATCTTTTTTAAAAAAATTGTAAATTGTCTTTATCAATTGCTTTCTATTTCATCTCCAAAGAATTTTATTGTTTATTTAACTTGCTCTGTAGTTATTTGTTTAGTTGATTAATAATATTTTAGTTTTAATGCTCAGACAATTTTTGCTAACATCTTTTTAGTTAGTAATATTAAAAAATTATTGTTGTATAAAACTGGATTTCAACTATTTTACGTTTTATTGTTTCTGTTATTTGGTATTGAATTAAACAACAACGTCTTCGCTTAATGGCTTTAATAAATCTTATAAATGTAATATTTGAATTAAATTAGACTAAATGATGTCTCCAAAGAGAAAACTCATTAGCACAGTCTATGATTTTCTGATTTTATTAGAACTTTTTCGTTAACGTTTAATGTATTTGATCTTGAACTTTTTAGTCCCCAATTAAAAATTATTTAGAGAGAGAAAATACTTTATTCTGGTACTAGAGCCCCCTAAGAATAACAAAAATGTCACAATTTTTTTTTACAAATATGGCACTTGAATTAAAGAAGATTTGACGTTAACATCAAGTAGAAAAAATTGAACTAAATCACATAGTACAAATATTTGGTGGTGTGGTTTTATTTAAATTTGTTTATGCATTTACCATAAACAATGTGAATATCGTTTAAAGTTGAGGTGTGATTTTTAATATTGAAATCAAAAATAATTAAAAGTAGCCAAATTGGAACAATTAAGTGCAAAATGTTCTTTTTTAATGTATCAAATCAAAATTATAAGAATGTGAACATCATATAAAATTGTAGGATTTGAACCATTTTTGATAAATAAAATATCTGTTAGTAGTTCAGCTGCTCATGATTATGATGACAAATATCAAATTTCCCCATTTTATATTTATAGTTTTATTTTTACTTTGATTCATACCAAATTGATCTGTTAGACAACTTTCGGCATATTCAGTATATCTGTCAAATGACACAGCACATTGAAGTTGGCAAAATGTTGAAAGGCGTCTGACAGACCAACCCACGAGGATAGGCAGATCAGGATGATCTATCTGTAATGATCAAATTACGTGTTTACCACCCTGCAGTACTTATTTTATAATAAGTAACCTGTACTTAGATATGATTTAATAGTTTTTCACATTCAGCTTGTCCCAGGTTTGACAAATTCATTAGAAATTGTAAAATTGTTTTTAATACGTTGACTGCGGAAGAACCGAAATGGCGACATGTGTCATGCCATTTGTCGTTGTTGCGGTTGACACAGTCTGCGGGCTCCCATTTTTACTTTTTAAACTCACATTCAACTTAACTCACTACACAATTCCATTCGAAATTCCTAGAGCTGCCTCATAAAGGGCAAAAGTGTCACTGACTTCAGTCATTAAAAATTTTTTTCAACTGGAAGTGAATTTTTTACTTATTCCATGAAAACGACACGATTTGCTTTTCTTTATGTGTGCTTGCATGTTTTAATTATTTACATATTTTGTATGATTGCATAAAATAAAGGAAAAATTATTCTAGAAAATGATTATTCAGAAATCGTGAGATGCGGGGTCCGGCTTTTGACGTAGATTTTAGAAAAACATTTTCTTCATTTTCTAAAGATGATCTCAATAAAGATCGAAACGTTGGCACGATAAAGAAAGTGTTTTTTGAAAACCTACATCACACCAGACCACATCTCATGATTTCTGAATAATCATCGACTAACGGTCACTAATCATCACCATACATTATTCTAGAAAGTTGAAACAACTTCAGTTCAACTATACACCAAAATTGAACAAATGTTCTTTGTGTTTCCTACTTCAATTACTTAGTGTTGCGGGAGACACAAATGTTGTGCCACATAATTTATATCATTTAGATAAAAATAATTTTAAAAAAATCATTTATTTTTATCATATTATTTTTAAGTACCAGAGAGCCATTTTATGTGATAACTTGAGTTCCGCTGTGGCCAACCGAAATGACTAAGCATACGCCGTAGTCAATGTGTTAAATAGACAAATATTTGCAGCAGTAGGTTTAAAAGTTTTATTTTAATTTTTAAATCCCTGCTTTTTTCTTTAATTGTGTAGATTTCTGTTTTAACTGTAGATAATATTTAATTCTCACTTTAATGTAGAAGGCTTTTTAAGTTACATCAAAATTTTTATACATTGGTGGTCGTTGATCAATAAGTCCGGATGATCTCCATTGCATGGCTTTTCATGTTTTCCCCCCTGTTTTAAATGTCTTTGTACATTTTGTACGTACATAAAAATACATATAACAAAAATGAATCAGCTTATCTGTTAACAATTGTCAAAAGCGACTAATATAAAACCATTAAGTGTGATTTTGAAATAAATAATTGGAGAGAAATGAAAGTTTCGTTGTTGGGGTTTCAGGTTGACCGGGCTTGGAGACAAAGAAGAGCTGCTATGCGATTTGATGAAAATATGTACTATATTATTAATTTGTTTCTTCGTTAAGCCATGTTGTCCATTATTGATCGAGGATTGTGGTGTGAAAGTGATAAAAATGGGAATGGGTGACTCTAAATGAAAAATAAGAAATAAACAAACATCCTCCAAATGACCAATAAACCATTTCCTCCTGACTCTATTTCAATAAGAATTTACAACTAAGAGGACTAAATTTCCACTTCATGATTAATAGAAATGATGAAGCATGAAGGTGGGGTGAGTATATGTAGATTCACTTTTTGTAAATTGTGGTTCTACTCGCAGATTTGTTCTTTACAACGATCTGGATTTTGAGCATTAAATGCTCATCATTTAGGGAGGAGTTACAAACATGCCACTCGTCATTAATTGGATGCAAATTTGACAATTCATGTCGACAGATGTATTTGTAATTCGTTCAACCTGATGAGCGTTTAATGCTCCAAATCTGGATCCTTGTAAACAACAAATCTGTGAGTAAGACCATCATTTACAAAAAGCTTCATGATTAATGTTTAATAGTTTATAAAAAGTGTAGTTTGGAAGAATCACAATTTTTTTTACTTAAGCCACAAAAATATTGCTCTAAATGTCTGAATATTTAGAACTTCTAGTACCTGATAAAGTGCATGATTTCTTTTTCTTTGTATATTTTTTTATACACTGGTTGCACACAAATTTGTTGTTTATATAAATTGTTCAAAACCTTTTGAATTTAATTACTTCAAATATTTTGTCGTCTATTTAAAATTAAAAAAAAAAATTAACATGGCACAATCTTCTTAGCATATTCATATTAGTTGGAGAAAAAATGACAAAAATTGGTGATCACATCTTTTTTTGCATAAAACTTTTACTATTTATCCGCTTATTTGTTTATATTTATTTAAAAATTTATAGTTCACTTCTCTAAACAACAAATAATGTAACTTAGTAAGTGTATATAATAAATTAAATGTGATTTTTACCAGTGTACACATTTGAGTAGCTGTAAACAAAATTTGTTTTGTTAGTTTATATAATAACAGTCATTTACGATGACTCCTCAATTTATTACTAATTTTTTGTCTTCTTGTAATAAGTTATGTTCATAGATGATTCTTTAGTGACTTAATCGATATTCTTATTTTCTATCTTGTAGAATTTGTGATTTAGTGTACAAGAGAGCAAATGATGGTAGTGCGAAATTTTTTAAAAAAACAAAAAGGAATATTATTATTTAATTTGGAGCTCCTTAGATGTAGTTCTAACCCTTTAAAGCATTTCCTTTTAATTTTCCAATTTATATATTTAAAAAAAGTTTTTTTTAAATGCTTAATATTTTCCTTTTTGTTTTATGTGGTAACCAAAAGGCTTTGAAAAAGCAAAACCAGCCAAGTGAGAAATTTTGCAAAAAATTTTTGTCAGTGGTGTGTGAAATTTTTTTCTCTGTTAATTTAAAAAGAATATAGTTCTTTCACATTTTGTATCGCATACAGTTGGGTAATTTAAACTTTTGTGAATTTCACCTTTGGTTTAAGCAATCATCGTACAAGTTGTTTAAATATGAAAATTAGGACTGTTTTTGTGAATTATTTAACTGTTCTGCTACACATTTTCACTACTTGCCAATCGATGTTTCACACCTGTGATGTCCCCTGTTATAATTTATTATTTATATTGTCCAGTATAGTTTCTCTTTTAAAAAAAGAAAGAAAAGTGCTACATTTAAGCTTCTAGACTGTAACTTTTTAAAAATTTGTGATCTAATTATTAACAATAGATGAGTGAAGGAAAGAAACTGTTTTGTTTTGGCAATTTTCTTCTTTTTTAACGAATATAATTTGAAAAGAAAAAAAGTTTAGCTTGGACCTATTGTTTTGACACTTAAGTTCAATGACATAATATGCAACAAGCGATTAATTTAAAAAATTCCTCTAATTTTAATGGTGGTATGCACATAAAAATTCAGTTGTATATTGTTTAGTAAACAATAAAAAAAAATCGTTTATCTATGAATATTGACCTTTGATAAATTTATCGTCTTTATTTTTCCTTGTCTGCTTGTTATCACTGTTTTTGTCTACCTAGCATGTTTTGCCATTTTAGTTTATACACCATATTCAGCAGTTTGTCTGTGAATTTATTGTTAAAATAACAGACCAACGACGTGAAGATAGTAAATTGTTGAAACACATCTGACTGACATCCAGCAATAGCAGGCAGACCAGGAAGGTCGGTGACGATCGAACTGAAGTTCATACCACCTCGTAGACCTGACAGCAATGCTTAAATCAATAATAATAAATCACTTTAGGCTTTCAGCAAAACTTTTTCTCCTCAACTCTCTACGAAAGTAAAAATATGTGAAATGAACTAATTGAATTGAAAGAATTCAAATTGTTGATGTGTATACTACAATTGTTTTTATGAAATTTTTGATCTCTTTGTATTTTACTAACATTGTATTTTTTTCTTCTTCTTTTGTACATGTCCATTTTGGAAAAGCCAAACTGATGTCTATTATTTATACTAAAAGAAAAAAGATTTTTAATATAAATATGTATATATTTTCATTATTTCGTCAGTGTTGTGTTCAAAGAAACTGAAAGAAATAATAAATAGTATTTTTTAAAATTTCAATTAGGGATTCTTTTTTCTCTTTAATTATGATTGATTTTTTTTTTGCAAATATTTTTACAATTCTCACACCTATACCCTTCTTTCTTCATTTTATTTGTTTTTAGGTCTTAGACTTAATATAGCAACAAGTCAATTATCGCTTATGATCGCCAGTTTGCAGTTTATAATTGAAAACAAAGCTAGCAATATGAAAAAAAGGGATGGAAAGCTCAAATTTTGGAGTGAGATTTGAAAAGAAAGTGTGTATTTGTAATGTTAATACTTTGGGCTGAATGGGTGGTCACGTGTACAAACTAGATTATAATATTACAGATGTGGTATTTTGTATTATAGTCCGTAGTTATAACTGTTTTATATAAAAAAAAATTATATATACAGGGTACACCCTGTATTGCAAGTAGGTGCCAAAAATGTAGTTAAATCCCGCCAACCACATGCATTTCTATCTGAACGCATTCGAGACGTATGCCGTTTTAAGTTTTTTCCCTCAAGAAAACCACGCTTATTCAAAGCCCAGTTTTCTCTACTTTTACAAAAAAAAAATTCAAGTTTGACCGCATTTTTGCTAACAGCATTAAATTTTCTATGGCTAATGCACTTTCAGTGTTGAGAAGTATCTTACTCACCGTAATAACAGTTCAAGAACAAAACAAATTACAATAAAGTTGAAATTAGATTTTTTTAAAAATATATTTATATATAAAAGTTGCAGGAACTGGCCTTGCAAAACCAACTGTCGACATCTGGTCAGCACCGTTCATATAGCCCTTTGAATCTCTTTATTGTTGGCTCTCATCTCTTCACATGATTCCCAAATTCTTGCAATCAGATGGTTTCTGTCTTCCATGCATACTCTTCCGGCTTAAGCCTATCCCACACAAGAAAATCCAGCGGCGTCAAATCTCGGCCAACGCACCCACACAGGTCCAGATTCCCCCCTCTCCACATTCCTGGATAATTTTGAATGAACCAATATTTTAAGTGCGTTAGCCTTGGAAAAGTACCAAAAATGTGGTGAAAACTAGAAAAAAAAGTGCAAAAGTAGAGAAAATGGGGATTTTATTTTTAAAAAATGTTACTCAGGGGGGCTTTAAAACAGCATATGTCTCGGACGCCGTTGAGATAGAAATTTGTGGTCGGCAGCATTTAACTACATTTTTGATCTAGTTTCACCGCCTTGAGTATTGTCATCTACTTGCAATGCACCCTATATATGTATGAAATTTGTACATGTACATATATTATATATATAATTAATTAAAATACAAATAACTTTAATATGTGTAGTTTATTTTTGTCACTACGAAATTTATAAGAAAAGAAAGCAAAATCTATATAAACTTTTTTTCTATTACCTTTTTTTTAAATATATGATGGTCTGAAACTGTTTCTAAAAACAAATTTATGCCAGGTTTACATTTAAAGAAATGGTTAATAAATAAAAAATAAACTGATCCTATTTAAAAGTTTTAAAACATTTGATTGTAACAAGATAAATTTTCATAATTGTAACTTCATTGTGACTAATGCAGTACAGATACCTTGTTTTCCATGTGTAGTTTGAATTTCAACCCTGTACCCAAATTTCCGTATTACTTTCAATGTCCTTTGCAGACCAACCGGACGGAAATGGCAGCCACTTGCCTTACGTCTCGTTTTTCAGGATGACAACAGAAAAACTATTGGAGCGAATGTCATTGTTAAATGTCTTTTATTATCAAAAATATTAGCAAGAAAAGGTCATGCCATAATTTTCAAAAGAAAAACAGAGTATCCAAATTTATCATAATGAAAATTGAATTATTTTTATAATGGGTCTTTGTTCATCTGGTTTGCCTGCAACGCTTTTATTTCAGGCATGTTTCAGATTTTTCTGTGGGTACATTTTTTTTATAATGGTTCATTTTTAACTGTTAAACCTGCTCTTTTAATGGGCATTCAATATTCGTAAATTAATTTAGATTAATATTTAAAATTTATAATTAATTATGCATCTTATTTTAGTCTGTGGTCGTGCATGAACCATGCATTAATTAAATTGTGAATTATTTGTGGAAATGGAAGTGAACAATTTATCGGTAAAAATTTTGTAAGTTTATGGATTTTGTTATGTAACTTTTTTGTTAATAAAACATCAGTTTTCTGCGCTCAAGACAATGATACATTCAATTTTTGTTTTTTTATTTTCTTGTTTCTGTTGGAACTGTGGTTATCATTTACAAATAAAATAAAATTAACAATTCCTTTCTCGGTTGATGATTTCTGAATTTCAGGGTTGTTATAATAAATAAATCTCCAAACGTTTTCAGCCTTCCTCATTAATATTATTACTACCTATGCATTTCTGGGCTAATCGAGTTCTCCTCTTCAAGTGTCGTGGGAATTATGATACTCTTCTTTTCTCTCTCTCTCTCTAAAAAAAAAAATAATAATAAAATAAATAAAATAAACATACCTTTAATGTTTCTTATAAATTTCCAGGAGCATTGAAGAGTAGTTGGATTGGCCTGAAATGCACAGTAATCAAACTATCAAGGAAGGTTGAAAAATGTTGATTTTTTTATTGTAACAACCCTAAAATTATTAAATAGACAACAAGGAAGGCACACCAGCCTGCCATCTGAAAGCTATTGTAGTTCACTTCAAAAAACTGCAGCTTTATTTTAATAATGTATTCTATAATGTATTTATTTTTTTNTTTTTTTGTAAAAGCAAAAGACTTCTGAGCAAGAACAAATATCAATAACTATTAGCATGAACCAAAATTTATTCACCAAAATACTATTTCAATTTAGTTTAAACTTATTTTCAGATTTCATAAATACAATCTTCGTGTTTTTGTTCAATAAGTATGTTTACTATGAGCTTGTTTTATTTTTTATTTTTTGTAGTTAACAGTTTTTGTGTACTTTATAACACACACACACACACACGCATGTCGTTTTTTTAGACAAGTTTAATACTTTGAACTTGCGTCCCACCTAACAAACACTAATAATTTAGAAATTTACAGCATACGATTAACAAGTAAAATTTTCTGAAAGTGAAAGTCCAAATTGATGAATCGTTGTTTCAGGAGAATCAACATACCTGTGACTTGTAAGGAAGACGGTGTTCAATGGCAGTGCTGTTTAAATTGAAAAAAAAAAAAAAAAGCAGTAGAACCTTGCTTTTGTACGCGACCGAGCCATGCAGCCGACTCAGCGGAGAAGAAAAAAATCCAGGACGTATAAGTTACACATGGTTTTAACGTGCACTTCACTTCTCAAAACTTACAAAAGCACTAAGGTTTCGGAAATCATAGGTTTTAAGTAATAAAAAGTTAAATACTTTGTTCGCTGCCTCCTGTGAGATGTCTCTATGTATTTAAAACAAAAATTTGAATTTTAAAATTGTCTAGTATTTTTCTATTTATAGATTTAACCTTATTTATTGTAAAATGAAATGAATTTTATTATAAAATAAATTATAAGAAAAAAATCGTGCAGAGGTTCTACTGTAGGGTTAATACTTTTTTCTTTTTAGATCTGTGATTAAAAGGATTTTCCTTTCAGAGCTACTTCTGAACTACCTTTTTACAAGTAAACTATAATAATTGTGTTTTAAATTTAAGGTAGGTTAATGTTTGCAATCCTTAGTACAAAAACCAGTTTAATTTTTACTATAACTGTATTTATAAGTTTAGCATGTTAAAACAACAAAAAAGATTATAATATTAGTACTTTTAAAATTTCTATATTTTTTAAGTAAGTATTAAGTGCAATGGAAGATCCATTTTGCTTTGCTGTACTTTGTTGAAATTGATATCTAAGAGTTAACTCTGTTCAAAATGTCCTAAGGCGAACAACGGATGTAATGTTTTTTTAAGAGACGTGAAAATGAAAAAAAAAGCAGAAAAACATGGAAATTTATGTATTAATAAAAAAATTAATAATTTAATTGATGTACAATCCTAATGTTAATCGTACAAATGCTAATTTTCCACTTGCCAAGATTAGGTGGTATAATTTAATAAAATTAAAAATCTTGTTATTTTTTTATATTGTAATTATAAATTGTATGACATTTTTATTTGATCTCAAAACAGTTTTTGCTCTTTTTTTAATATCTTTTTTAAAATCCTTTTACATTATCCTACATTAATCCATACATCTTTAGCAGTCAGAATTGACCATATTAATTATTTCAATTAATTATTCTTTTTATCTAAGGTCTTGGTTGAAATGAAAAAGTGTCATGAGCGGGATTTGAATCCACAACCTTCGCCTCAATACTTTAGTTTTAACCATTTGCGCTATCGTGACTGTCAAGTGGTTAGAGCAGCGGCGGCGTATTCGTAAGGTCGTGAGTTCGAATCCTGCTTGAGACACTAACTTTTTTATCTCAACTTAAAACCTTAATTAATTGAATGTTATTAATTGGCCAAGCGGACCACGAAAAATAGTGAATTACTGATATTTTATCTTTCAACAAAAGTAAAAGGAGAAAAAAAACAGTTATTCCTAAAAGTCCTGTGAATGTAAACAATGCAAAACTAAAACTCAGAACACCAGGCAGACAAGAAAAATCAGAAACAATAGGGTTGAGGGTTTGGAAGAAGGAAAGGGGCGAGGGGTATAAGACAGTAGGGCATCCCTAATGAGATGTGGATATGGACAAATGGTTTTCCAGAAAAAGTAATGTCACAAAAGTTGACAGAAAGGTCAGATGAACACTAAATAGATTTTAGTTGAGATAAAAAAGTCAGTGTCACAAGTGGGATTCGAACCCACGACCTTCGGCTAGATACACCGCGACTACCACTTGAGTTATCGTGACTTCGATCCACTCAGACACACACAAATGAAATGGCCACTTGAGACCTTTAGTGAAGATATACTTCATTTTAACTTATTAAATTCACTAATTTTCATGGTCCACTTGGCCAATTAATATCTTTCAAGCTCTCCGTGGCCATTTCATTTGTCGCCGAGAATCAAATAGATTACACATTTGAAAAATGGAAAATTCAAAAGATGAGGTTGAGATGGAAAGTTGATGTCCGAGTGGATCGAAGTCACGATAGCTCAAGTGGTACAGTAGCGGCGTATCAAGCCGAAGGTCGTAGGTTCGAATCCCGCTTGTGACACTGACTTTTTTATCTCAACTTAAAACCTTAATTAATTGAATGTTATTAATTGGTCAAGCGGACCACGAAAATTAGTGAATTTACTAAATAGAAGATTGAGAAAAGTGGTTCATTGATAATGAAGGGAAATGAAAGGTGAGTGATTACACCTCGGCCCAATAGATACTATGAATTTTTAGCTAGGGATCCTTAAAGGCCAAAAGCATGAGAACGAGTTAACTAGGCCCTAGGGAGCAACCAAGCCAGTATGAGATATTTTGTCACAAGTCCTGAAAAGACTAATGGAGAATAAATTGTTAATTTTTCCTATTACTTTCAGGGCATTTGAACTACGTTTTGTGTCATGAGACATTATTTTTGTAAGATTTTTTCATGAGGTCTGGGGTGATGAACTTTGTAATTTGGTCATTTATGATCATTTTGTCTGGCTATATTGCGGTTTTGATCAGTCCAACACGCTTCTACATATCACCAGACCTAGCAGTGAAGAAGATAACAGATCAAAATGATTATTGTTTAAAATTTCATAATTTGAGAACAATGGTGCCATTAACAGTTTTTTTTATTATTATTATTTTTTTTAAGAATTTGAGATTCCAAATGAGGTAGTGTGTAGAAAGTAGAGAATTAGAGAAATATTTATTAAAATCTTTATTTAAAAACAAAGAAAAACTCATGACAATGACTTTACATTTTTTAAATACATTTGAAAATATTATATACACCGTTAATATACAGTAGTTCAATTCAATAAATTTGTACTGACAGGTATTTCCTCGATGATCGCTATCTTTGCCTTGGCCTCGTTCTTGGATAATTGGCTCTCTGTTTTCCGAGCTTCGGAGGTGGGGACTTAGGCCTAAGGGCTTCGATCCTCTCGGTACAGCCCGTCGTGAGTGTTGAAAGGGTAAAGTAGCTCGAGTAAACCTCCCAGTTGAAATTGCTGTTCGTCAAATCTGGGCCTAATGTGAGCCAACCCGGTCGGATAGTGCTGTCTCTTCCAAAAATGTGCAGCCTGTAATTTAATAAACAAACAAAGAAACAATAAACCTAATAAGTGGTACAAACATTGATAAAATTTACCTCCTCCTGCCGAGACAGAAGTGTTCGATGATATGAAAGATTTCTACAGGCTTTTCTAAAGAGCCATACTCAGGTTCTTCACTTATGATCAAATCGATATCAACATTTGCATGGATGTAGTCACCATCTGTTGAACGTCGCACAGTCCCTTTAATACCCATCAAGCAGTGTTCCTACAAGTAAAATCGTAACGATTGATGTAAACAATTAATTAATGGTGTTACCTTGGTTCTTTGGAAGATAGCCTTGGGCTCCAGGTTTTTACTATGACCTGGGTTGTTGATGTTTGTCCGAATCCATGAGATATCCTCACATCGTCGGAAACCCCACTTTCGGAGACAGGCCCTGCCCATGTCTAAACCTTCTGATGAACCACACCAAAGAAAAACAAATGACCTAGATGCCGCTACTTCTCCTATATCCAATTCCATAACCTTAAAATAAAACAAAAAACAGTCCTTATTCTGTGACATATTTATTTGAAATCTACCAATATAGTTTCATAAGGACTTCCTATCCTTGATGGTTTATATGAAAGATGTTTCGTGCTGGGTTTGCCAAAAATGGCAACATGCTGAAATGCATCTTACAGATCGAAACCAGCAAGGAAAGGCAGACCAAGTTGATCAAAGACGACCATACTATATTACCTGTTCCCAGCTCCAGAGTTTTGTATTTGTGACGCCCATCGTCCTCTGGTATTCTTCCAAAGGAGGTTCTACGAGTATCACGTCAAATTTCACATTCAAGTCTTTCATGCTAAACGTTTCAAGGTCGCATTTTAAAAACATTGGAGGCGTTGCAGTTTGAGCGATGAGATCATCCTAAAAAACCACTCAGACCAATCTATGCCAGTTTAATCATTAATGATATTACCTTTAATTTTATTAATTCCCTTAGCTTGGGATATTCCTCGAACCTATCAGCGAGGCCGACATCCCTGATGAAGTTTTGAGGGCGTTGCCCAGTGTCGACGAAGTGTTGGCAATAGTCATTATGAGGGTTTGACGATTGTGTTCCCTAAAATCGTATTGATCAGCATCAAAGCAATGCATTAATTGAAAATGCAATATTACTTTGAGGAAGGTTGAAGAGTCTTTGTAAACAACACCATCGCTCTCTTCTTCCTTCTCCTTAGCTTGGTCAATTGGCGTAGGCGCTGCTTTGACTTTCTTCTTTGGCGGTTCTTCCACAGACGTCCCGAGAGCCTGCCTTAACTCGGCAGCGTTTGAAACCCCGAACTTAAAAAATCAAATAAAAGAAATTGCTTCGTTAAATCTATAGTGATATTAGAATATTCTGAAAAGTACAAACTGGTTAAAAAATATTTTAATGATTAATATGAGGGTCTTTGGGAGGGAAATGCTTATCTGCTGCCAACCACATACCTTTGACTTACCCAGAGCCACTTGGCTTTTGTAGCCACCTAAGCCTTCTTAGGTCAACCTGATGGTCCACCAACACCCTATTCCAATTCCACAGCCCTTGCCATGGACAGTCTCATAGATAGAGGTTTTTTTTAATGGATATGTTAATGTACTTATTTTAACTGTAATTTAAGGAACTGGACACAAGCTACATAATTATACTTAGTCAACAATAACCACCACTTTAATTAAATTGTGGCATAAAAACAAAGAAGTATAAGTAAAAGGCAGAATATTGAGTACTCCATCGGCCCTCAATTAGAGTAGTTGTACAACGAGTGTAAAGGGTGATGGAGGAATATCAGTAATATGGAGTACTCACTCCACCAACCTAATTGAATAAATTGCATGTAAATAGGAGAGAATGTATTTAAGAATGAGTGAGATTGTGAATGGGTTTGGGTCTAGAAACTGCATGCGTTGGGTGCTGAATTGACCTAGCTGTTGATAGCACCTAAAGCCCGACCTCGGTGGCTGGACAGATAAGACTGAGGTCTGCCCCAGACTGCTAACACCCGGGGAGGATGATTCTCAAGTCTGCTAGCAATTTACAGTAAATAGCAAAAGCTGGAATTGGTGAATTGGCTCACCTCGGCGGTTTTTATGTAAGTACGTACATATGTGGCTTTGAGCATTTAAAAATCCAAATCCCAAATCAAAGCATTATGGACTTTTTGTTCAGAAGTTTTTTTGAGTCCAAATTTCAAAATGAAAGAATCAGTCTCACAGGGCAATCCACATAAAGTTCTACGACCACATGTCTTTATTCTTTAATATATATAAAAAGTTTACAAATCGGAAATATGTATTACAAAACAAGAAAGACATTCCTCATAGTTTAAAACCATCTGAGGGAGTCTAGCACATAAACTTAAATAATTGAATCTCTCTTCCAAGTATTTATAATTAGTATCTACAAAATGAATATTCACTTTCTTCAAAAATTTCTATAATGTGATAATAAAACATAACTGAATGATAATATATACAACACTTATTTAAGATTACTTATAATGCACATAACTTAATCAATAAAATAAAACAAAATGAAGTAAATGGGAATAATAAAAATAAAATTAAATAATAATTAATTAATCTTTATGTAAGGTATTGGTTGGGAGTAAATAATAATAAAGTACATTATATAGTAAAAGAGACAATAGTAAAAACGTTAAATTAATTATACTTTTTATCTAAGGCCTTGGTCGAGATGAAAAAGCTAGTGTCATGAATGGGATTCGAGCCCACGACCTTCAGCTCAATATGTTGCTGCTCTAACCGCTTGAGCTATTGTGACTTTGATCCACTCAGACACTAAGGAACAGTCACTAGCTTTTTCATCTCAACCAAAACGTAAGCTAAAAAGTATAATTAATTGAAATAATTAATACAATCAAGTGTGACTACTAAATACATATATGGATTAACAAATAATAAATATTTACAATAGAATACAATAAATTAAGGGATGTTAGGACAAAAAAACAAAAGTCAGTGATATTATTGAAACAAAGGTAAGGCCAGTAAGAACAGATACATTACTACGTTAAGATTCAACTCAGCCGTCCCTGCCAATGGTTCTTTACAACGCATACAAAATACCTAAGTAGAGGATAAGCTTTATATCTACTCAGGGGAATCTGCAGAGTAACAGCTTCCACCCTCACCAAGTGCCTCAGATTCTGGTTCTAAAAGAATAAGTCTCCTTACAGCAATTGACCCACACAAACCAATCCTTGCCATGAATATATTCTAACAAAACCTAACTACACCAGGCTGTGACAAAGCTGCTCTACCAAAATATTGTTTCCTTACAGGAGGCAGTGCTGGGCAAGTGGTCAAGAAATGGAACAAATAGACTCTATACAAAATATACAGTTAATATCAAGCTGTTTGAAGTGTTTAATTTAAGTTAAATAATTAAAACAGATCCCCTCGACACTTAATTATCCACTGCATATTATCAAAGGGTAAAGAAAGATCTATTAAATAATTTAGGGATTTGAATAGAAGCTCTCTATAGAGTAGGATGATATATGAATTGGCCACAGATTTGCAATCTTTTCTGTTTTTATTGTCACAAATGGACCGTCTTGCTAGCCTCAAACCACCCCTCCACAGTGCTGGGGATACATCATCTAAGGTACAGCTCCATTTGCCGATGTTGTTCTGGTCTAAGGACAATCCAAGTTAAACTGCATGATATGCCTTTTTATTTCCTTTTCTTTATCTACTATCTGCAAACTGGCAAGAAACTTCAGGAGTTTATTCTCGGGTAGGGATAAAATTCTGATTATGTAATTGAAGTGGTTTTATAGTGTAGAGAAAATCAGCAGGAGACCTGTCTCTGCATAAAGGAAGGCTGTGGGGTGTACTGGGGCCTCCTGATGAAAAACTGTAGAAGCCCCTCTACCTGTCCAAACATCTCTCCTCCCCAAACCTGAGTGCCATAGCATAAAACAGACCTGCTGACTATGTTAAATATTTTTAGCTTAGTCGAGTACTCAATATCGCTATATGAGGCCTCCAATAGAATTTAGTCCCATCCTTGCTGTGTCCACTGCATCCGTAACATATTCATTGTGAGTGCCAGCTGTCAGATTCCCCAGTTCATTAATGAATACAAGTACTCATTCACCACATCTATCTCTTCACTTTCTAAATACCAATGTAAAGTAAAAAGTAAAGTGATTCTTGTCATACAATGTTTAATTACCCATTAGTTGTTGTGGTTGAGGGGTAAAATCGGTTTACGATACATTTTTTTTAAATTAAAAAGTCGTGGGATATGCTGGGATTCAAACCCAGAACCGCTAGGCATATGAGTCAGACAATGCGATCACCCACAAGGCAAGCCATATTTTTTTCTTTCTAAAAAGCACATTTAATACCAACCTTTCAAATAGTCAAATCATTGAGATATTTGTGCATATTTATAAAGTGCTTCACTGTGGATTTTTTCTTACTACTGTCTACTACTTTTAACAAAAACAACATGTACCATTTCAACTATGTGAGGAATGACTACTGTTGAATATTGACAACAGCATAGTCAAACAAAGTGTTTACGATAAGGCAGAAAACGAGATAATGAAGGCAAAATATGATCAGTACAAATCAAATATGTTGTAGCAGATGTTTCAAAAGATTATTCTCCCTTCGTATAAAATTTTATGGAATAACATAAACATCTTCCAGTTTTAAAACAAAGCTTGATAATACAATTGGCTCCTGGTGAAGCTCCTTTGTATCAGGGCTGCAAATCGCTAGGTATTTGTAAAAGCTCATAGAAAATTAAAACTTCACGATTTAACTTGATTATATTTAATGCCAGCTTACGGTCTGGGCGAGGAGCAGCTTCCTCCGTTGCGACCGCTCTTTCAGCTCCTTGAGCGTGCTGCTCATTTTGTCGGGCGGCTGTCGCGACGGCGTCTCGCCCTCGGTGTCGGAAAACAGGGAGGTTGCAACGGTGTTGGCGCGGTCGCGAGACGCCAGGTAACCTTAAGTTGAAAAACCTGTGACGTTTCATGCCGAGACGATTTGGATAACCTTCCTTCGGCAGGGACCCATTTATTCTTAAACCAAATCTCTCCTGGACACGGTTAATAAATAAAAAAATTAACGCACCGCCTTTAAATTTTAATGTATTAGGTTTATTCATAATAGGTTTGGTTGTAAAAGTAAGACATTTAAAAAAAGTTTATTACCTAATTTTAAAAAAAGAAAAAAAATTGAGTAAAGAAAAAAAATGTTGTCTCCTTTAATACCGACTTCACCTCTGGCCAAGAATTATGTCTGTTAAGGCTAGTATACTAAACCAAGCATCAGTCTCGAGTTAGTATTGGTGCAACATTTCCTGTGACAACATGGCCGTGAGATAATGGCAACAAGTGGGATTTCCACTTGTATGGATTTAAAATTGCCAGCTTTTTTTTTTAATCAAAACTTTATTGTTCTCCCGATTAAAAGAGATTTCTAATTTTTTTTCCGAGATCACCCACAGATGCATCATGTTTGTTAGTGAGTTCTTCCATTGCTGCTCATCTCCTGGAAAGATTTTTGCCTGCCGAAAAAGTGCACAAAACTATAGAGCACGTGAATTGTGTATAGTTTGGTTGTGTACTAACTGAACTGATCTACGGTAAAATAAAGCATCCTTACTATGCAAAATTGCGAACCTTGGCTAACGTGTTCAGGACTCCCATTTCCGACGGGAGACCAATGTTCCGCGAAATTTGCCTCAGAATGGTCTCGAGACCATCTAAAATCGACCTAATTGGTCTAGATACAATCTCTATTGCGAGACCCGGTCTACCAGTATACTAGCCTCTAAATGTCTTGGCATTCCTTTCCTTAGAAAAGATTTCTGGTAAAGTTCCGAGGAAATCTTTCCAAAAATTGGTTAATAAACTTTTTTTAAAGTCTTACTTTTACGACCAGGAACAGCCATTTCCAATTCTTTTAGCGAGTTAGGACCTGGGTTTAGTCTTCGTTCTCGTCGCTTAAGTTGGTCCCAAATGTGTTCGAATGGGTTCAAATCTGGACTTCGAGCTCCATTTCGGAGCAAGCACTCAATTTCAACTCATTCAGGTAGTCATCCAAAATACGTGCTCTATGGGGCCTGCATTATCTTGCAAGAATCTCTCACCGATGTGGGGTCAAATGGTACTACATGTTCTTCGATTCTATCTTGTAAGTACCTGGGAAGTTAGAGATCTTCCTCGCACAAAATACAATTCGGTGCGGGTGTCCAAGGAAATGCCATCCCAGAACGTCAATGACCCACCATGGTATGACAGCTGGGGAAACATACAGCATGGGGCGTACTTTCCTTTGGACGTCTCTATATCAAATTACGCCCATCTGAAAATTTGAGGCCAATTCTCACCTCATCTGTAAAGACCTCAATCTTCCACTGTACAATTCACATGTTCCCGTGCGAATTGAAGCATGGCCATGGTTTGATCTGTGGTAAAAAGAGGTTATTTTCATTGAACCAAAAATTACAGTCCTGGAGGAAATCGAAACATTTCGGACTTGTCTTATCGGATTTTTTATCTCATTTCCCATAATGCTGCGGTTTCGTAGAGCCTGATGACGGATGAATCTATCGTCTATCTTGTCCTTAGGTCGACCTCGTCCTGGCCTTCTAGTGTGAAGCCCTGTTTCTCTGAAGCGCCGAAGAACCCTTCCTATTGTAGACGGTTTTACACTCAGTCTCCTGGCGACTTCGAGCAGGCTGTATCCTACCTCTAATAATGTTATGACCATGACATCATACTCAAATGCCTGACTGAAGCCGTTGAAAAAGGTTTACGAATAAGAATAATATCAAATGAAATCAACGAAAAATATTAACTGAAAGCTATCTTTAGGCGTAGAAGAATGGAAGGGCATAATGCTATTTTTTGTGCAAATGGGATTAATCAGTACAAAAGTAAATAAAGGAAGTAAACAAAGCATTATTTACTGTTTATTTTGACTAGGATAGCTCTAATTACCTGGAACTAATGTAGAAAGGTAATGCATTTAATTTTAAACTAAATACATTGAGTGATGCGTTAAATTTGTCCATCAGTGTAAAAATGTTTTATTTACAGAATAAATATAAAATAAATTTACTTTTGCTTATAATACCGAAAACATGAACCTTTAGTTCGTATGCCTAGTATCCAACCAACATCCCTAAATCTCGAAATGCTACAACAAGGTACAGCCAAGTATTTTGGAATGAACTTAGTTGCAAAACTGGCTTGGGACAAACATAATGGCCTGACAAAACGTGCCGAAATAGAAAGTTGCACTTTTGAATGTAAGTCTAAACTGCCTCTGTTCATAAAACGCCAAATCTACTTGATAATTATTATACCGATTTGGCCATGTGGATATGAGATTTCGACTTCTTCGAGGAAATCGAAAGTCAAGTGCAAAATCGCGAGTCTTGACTGACCTCACGAGCCCCTTGGTAACACATTGCATGCCAACCTAGACCAACGCTAGCTGATTTCTTAGCTATTGCTTAAAACAGGCTAAAACGCCTCATGACCATCCACCCAATCCTCTCCTACATATCATCCTCAGTCAGACGCCTAAACCGCAAAAGACTGGGAAACAAAACCAGCGCAAGTATAAACTAGTCCATCTTATGCTAAATGTGTAGTATTTAGTGAGTTGTTAATTAATGATTATTTAGAAACATTGATTATTAATGTTCGTGTTGCGTGATGACCCGGACGCCAACATTCTATAATTCTCTTTGTATTTCATCATGAAGAAAAAAAAATAAAGGTTATACTAATTGCGACCGATAATCTCTAATAATTTGAGGTGAAACTTTCTTGGCTGAAAGTCTTCTTTCCAGCCTCATGTCCTAGGATGAATCTTGCCCTTTTTTGTGGCAGTATGAAATAAATAACAGATTATTTAATTTATTTAATTATTTAAATTCTATTGAAAGTTACAGTTACGCGAAGTAAGAGAATTCGCTAAATGAACTAACATTAAATGTATATCATTGATAATTTTGCACTATGCAAATAGGTCAAGATCAGTTAGTGAGTTATGGCACGTACGTTTGGGTGTGTTTAAACAAACAAATATAGAGAAAGTACAAAAATATTTAATTATTATTAACTTATTACCGCCGCCGAAGTTAAGGGGTTGTCAACATCTAAGTCATTGTAGGCTTCAGCAGTTTTTAAACCTTTACGTACCCTGAAATCAATATGATAGTTGAAGTACTTGATATTCCTCCATCAACCTTTACACAGACTGTATAATTAATTTAATTGAGGGCAATGGCATACTCAATTTCCACCATCGACCCTCTCCCACTGCACATTCACTCTAATAAATACAAAAGGTAACATAAACCGAGATATCTATCTACTAGTACCAGGATATAATAAGACAGTCCTGTTTTCTTCAAAAATTGGAACAGAGGATCCAAATAATCGCTTCTGTGTTCAAGCACAATTCACAAATCAGATGGTATTCCTACCCGATCTCTATACGGAGCCAAGCCTTAACTGGGACACATCGAGAACTCCTTTTCTATATGCCGGACTCTTACGCGGACTTTGGCAAAAAAAATAAGTGTCAACCTAGTATGGGCTGATTATACGGAAATCGTGAGATGCAATCTGGTGAACATTTTCTTTATCGTGCCAACATTTCGGTCTTTATTGAAATCATCTTCAGGGCTCAAAGTGTTTGTTTTCTGTGTAATTGTGCCATTCTTGCGTGTCGTGTTGAGAGTGCCCTGAAGATGATCTCAATAAAGATCGGAACGTTGGCACGATAAAGAAAATGTTTTTCTGAAACCTACGTCACACCAGACCGCATCTGACGATTTCCGAATAATCATAGACTAACAGTCACTAACCACCACACATTTCTAGTATGGACTATTATTAGTCGGAGTGAGTAAGATCTTTGATTCAGATCCTCCGAGGGGGCCACCCTATTGACCGTGCTCTTGATACGGGAAAGCTTCTCTTACGATCCTTTTAATCATTATTATTGTTTATATATCCTACAAATAAAAACCCATGAATATTATTTGTTAATAATAAATTGTGAATTCGCATAGAACTGATACAGTATAAAATTATCTGATGGTTATAAGAGGCAGAGGAGAAAAATGCAAATCCTTTACCAACGACCAATTTCAAGATATCAAAGCTGTATTTAATTTTTTACAATAAATTTTATTTTTGTACAAATAAAGATATTATATTTGTTGTAATTACTACCAGCCTTCAATATTATCATTTTGTAGCAAACATCAGGCGTAAAGTCAAATTCTTTAAATAAAGATAAACGCAGACGAATTTTCTCATCATATAAAAATAACGGGGAAAGAACAAAATTGAATGATAGGAAATACAGTTTTGTGCAAGTGAAATTTAAAATTTAATTTAGTTTTAAATTGTTAGTTCATTTTGTAGGGGTAAGTGAAAATTCCATAATTGTGTAGGTCATATAAAATTATTAAAACTGACTAAATCAAACCTCCTGGTTCGATGTTCAAAAATTAAATCTCCAAGGATTCGATATTTGTTGTTTGTTGTGTTTGTTTTTTTTTTCATTTTTAAACTGGCCAATCTGAACATCGGAGAATGGCAAAAATGGGATTATCCCGCATTATCTCTCGAACGGGTAAACACTTTGGATCGCCCGAGGGGTCCGTACGAAAAGCACGACGACGAAACGCCTTTCGCCGGGGAAGTCTTAAGGTAAAGGGGGTTGGACTTTGGGTATTGTCTTTCGTCTGTATTTCTCCAGTTTCGACCGAAGCCAAAACTATGAGCATTCGGGGCGAGGCCATGTCCGAGACGAATTCCGACTGCACGGCAGGCCGGGAAAGCTCGATCGGCAGCCGGGAAGACTTACAGGAAATAATGACCAATCTGGGGATATCTTCCGTCGACCTACTCGCCCAGGACAGGTTCAGAGTGGACAGGAAACTCTTGGAAAATCTCCTATTTGGTAAGAGTTTCAATTCGTGCTCCTCCAATGAGGAAACAAATCTAAACTAACTTCAAATCCCGATCGAATCATTTCTTTATTATTGATCTTGAAAGCTCCATCGATCAGGAAATTTGTTGCTAGATTCAGGATGTCTAATAAGGCTAGATAAATCTAGCCTCGCGGAGGATAAAAATGGCGAATCTAGCTGGACACAAATCGGCCGTTTCATACCCACTCAAATAATATTTTTTCAAATTTTTCATTCAATTCTGATAATAATTACAGATCCCTAGAGCTTCTATTATTATTGTTGTTATTACTATTAAACATTTAAATATTATTTTGCGGTTTACTATTCTATATATTATTTTGCGGTATATTATTCTAGCCTATCTTGCTACATCGCGATGAAAACGTGGGTATAGATGATTAATTCAAAACAAATTCGAATTTTTTTTTCTTTCTCCTTTTTATTTCATAACTTTAAAAAACCATTTAAAACACTTAATTTCTTATAAAATATAAGCCGATTCACAATGTAATACTAAAGTCTTTCTGTTCATCTGGTCAAAGTTCAGTCAGACCCAGGCTGTAGAACAAGGATTCACAAACTACTGTCCGCTGGTTAGCATTTGAAAAATTGCAAGTAAATCGAATGGGGATGAGTTCCAATTTGAAAATACATACTCATAGTTCCTTCATTATTCGTAAATTTTGTTTTTACAATAATTACTCAGAAATCGTGAGTTGCGGTCTGGTGTGACGTAGATTTCAGAAAAACATTTTCTTTATCGTGCCAACGTTTCGATCTTTATTGAGATCATCTTCAGGGCTCAAAGTGTTTGTTTTCTGCGTAATTGAGCCATTCTTGCGTGTCGTGTTGAGAGTGCCCACTCAATTTAAATAAACTCAAAACGACACTCAATAATGACACATCTACACATAAAACAAACACTTTGAGCCCTGAAAATGATCTCAATAAAGATCGAAACATTGGCACGATAAAGAAAATGTTTTTATGAAACCTACATCACACCAGACCGCCTCTCACGATTTCTGAATAATTATCGATTAATGGTCACTAATCACCACATATTTGTTTTTACAGATTCCTCGTGTTTTCCCTTTGTACTTCAAGTTTTTAAGTATAGTTCGAGGAACTATCTTACATAAGAAAAAGTGAAAAGAAAAAATTAAAATATTATTATTATATAATCTTTCAGCAATAAATCAAAAATCGTTAAAACAAAGGTTGTTACGTAGTTTTCGTTTTGGTCTTACAATTATGAATCCGGTGTTATTTTTTGACTGTAGAGGACAGGGGTGTTTAGTAACAAAAAGCACTTTTCGACAAAGTTTCTTGTAAAGCCCCTGAGTTTCTACCATCCTCGAGATTATCTGATCTCTTATCATATAAATATGACATACATCGATGTCAACCTCTATTCTTAATGATTTTTAAGTCGGTAGAGTCTATTTAATTTTGAAACAGGAAAAAATTGGCCATAAACTCGTTTATGATATATTTTTCTCCAGGAAACCGGCATAACTTTAAAAAATATTAGTTACCAACAGGGTGAGTTTGCCTTCTGTTTCTATTATTCTTTTATTGGGGTGTTTTGGGGAAAATCCCCGAGGCACGTAAACTTTTATTTTTGTCTAGTTTCACATGGGCAAAAAATGTGTGCTATTTCAAATTGCGAAGCACTCATCCATGGAAATTTTTTGAAAGATTTTTGGAAGGTAAATTCAACGGTGTAAACGATTTTTAATGTCGAGCAACCGTTCTCAAGTAACTTGCAAGAACTTATTCCCGATCATTGTTTTTTGGAAAAACGAAATCTTCTCTAACTTCTTCAACCAAGAACCAATTTATTTATTTACCGTTTTAATTGTTCGTGTCACCAAAAAAATTAAAGCATAAATTTCCCCAAAACGCTCCAACAAAAAAATTGAGACGGGGAACAGAAGTTAAAATTTCCCTGTATACAGTACATAATTTTATAAAACATACTCAAAGGCAAAAAAAACCGGACACTCATATTTTGTTGTTTATTTTTAACTATATGAATTTTTATCATTATATTAGTTTAATTGCAACCTCATGAGTTTTAATAAAAAAATTTTAATTTTCCACGACACTGTGGAACACAAAATCGTTTAGTAATGGAATGAATTTAACTATCTATTCATTGCTTGGTTTTGTTCACAATAACGCTTTATGAGCAAAACTGGATTTTAAAAAATTGCTAGTTAAATTTTAATCTACGAAGTAAATGATTTCCGGTGTTTTGGTGAATTCAAACCATCATAATTAGATTTTTTTAATAGAATTCATAAATTTCTGATCTGTTTCATTTGGCTTACATTAACATAACTATGTTGTGATTAATATAACGATTAAAGTATATATAGTTTGAAATAAACAACAAAATACGTCCAGTGTCCGGGTTTTTGGAGTGTATTAAATAAATAAAATCAATCTCAAGTTAAAGCCCCAAAAATTGCTGGACAACTTGAACGAGATCATCAAATAGTCAGTGCTTCTTCCTACTCATTGCATAATTTACAAATGGACTTATCATTAATGGCAATGCACGTGTTTTCTCAGATGCTAGTGGCCGGTAAGTTTTATCCTGTCTAACTGTAGCTTTATGTTTATCAATTTTGGTAGGGGTTCTTAAATCATTATTTTACAATGCCTGGCACCTCTGGAGTTCGTCCACTTGTTCTTTTGTTTTCGTGCACCGTAAGACCTACGAGTCTGCATTTGGTCTTGCTATCCCAGTTATAAATCCTGGGCCAATATATAATCCTGCAGATCTTTCTCTGGCTAGTTTGCCTACTTGTGGATTCCTTTGTGCCCTGGCACCCAACATATTGTCAGGTTGTTATTTTCCCAGGTTTTGAAGATTTCTGATGAACTCACTGGCTATTTTGGATGAGACCTTTTTGCGTTTTAATGCTTTTAGGCCTGCTTGTCTTTCTGATGGTATAAAGATTTTGTCAGTATAACCTCTTTTAAGATTTTCATTGTTCAGCGAGCATTTGAATTCATTGCATTGTATGCTTGTATTTCAGCTTGAAAGAGCAAATGCTCTTGAGTTTTGATGAGTTTAAGTGTTTATATTTTGAGCTAGCAGATAATAAACGTGACCTGGTCCTTTCAGTGGTGCCATCTGTATATTACATAATTGTATTTGATCTCCTGATTTCTTCTTATCCTTAATGACCTGTTAAAACTTTAAAGGATGTCGCACATTTTTTTCGGGATCATATAATCAATACCAATGGCTAAGAATCAACTTATTTGTTTTTGGAGACTGAGCTTCTCCTCGTACATTGCTTCCTATAGAAGAAGAGGTAGGTTTAATAGTGTTTCTAAGCTGATGAAGGTTGTAGTCATTGCCCCTGTGATACATAGATTTTTCAATCTTTGTTTACTGCATGATTTTTGAGTATCTTGTTTTTCTTGAGCATTAGGCCAGATGTTTGCCCTAGTCTCGCTTGTTCAGGTTTCAGTCAAATTTAGTATACTTAATCGCTAATACTTTAATAACAATCGAACTCACAAGATAAGAACTCCTTTGAGAAATAATTCAGAGATTGCTGTTGTTAAACAATTATTTTACATTATGCCATAATTGCTGGTCAAATATTATTTATTATATTAATGAAATTGATTTTTTTAAGTATGGTTTTATAACTTAACGCAATGTAAGACTGATCAGTCATATCAACAATCTCCATTTTTGTTGCAGCAACAATATAATCCAGCAATTTTTTTACGTATTATATTTCATATTTTTATTTAGGTGGTGACAAAAATGCGGCTTCTGACTTGTTCCTCAGTGTAAGTTGGTGAATTCCTAATCAAACCAAGTCTGGAATGAACAATTTTTTACAGACATTTCATATTTTAGATTATGCGCGAAACAAGAACACACATTGCATGGCCTTCCAGGCTTAAGTTAAACGCTAAATCGAAGAAAGGTATGTCATCTACTGTTGTTTCATTACTGTTGCTATAGATTTTTAAAATCTTCTAGACCCACACATCAGAATATTGGGCAGAACTGACGACGTTAAATTAGCACACGACAGGGTCTTGGCGACTCTAGGACCCAAGGTATTTCTAAATTTACAACAGAAACCTAAGAACAAAAAAATTGAAATGTTTTTCCAGGGGAACAGAGTCAACATGAAAATAGACGTAAGTTACACCGAGCACTCGCACATTATAGGAAAAGGTGGTTTGACAATCAAGAGAGTGATGGAAGAGACGGCATGTCACATCCATTTCCCGGACTCAAACAGGAGCAACCCTGTTGAGAAAAGCAACCAAGTTTCAATAGCTGGAGATGTCGCTGGTGTGGAAAAAGCAAGAGCGAAAGTCCGAGTAAGTCTTAAAGTCCTATTTGTCGAACTTTGCATTAAGCGTGATTACCTCTAGGAACTCACACCGCTAATTTTCTGCTTCGAACTTCCCATACTTGAAGCCCCGATGCTGAGTCCGGACCAAGTATCTCCTTATATCAAAGACATTCAGGACACGTACAATGTTCAGGTGATGTACAGGACAAGGCAAAAGCTCTACTCCACTCTCGTTGTCGTCAAAGGCTGTGAGTGGGAAGTTTCAAGAGTTAAGGAAGCGACGAAGTTGCTCATTGCTCACATGTGCAAGTCCCTTGCCGTAAGTCATTTCTTCTCATTTGCAGTTTTATGTAAAATACGCTGCCTCTATAGTCTCTGTTTCTGTTTTAAGGACCACGTGACTGTTCAAGTGATGTTGGAAATATCACCACACCACCATAGCGTGGTTTTGGGTAAAAACAACGAAAATCTCAAGGCCATCATGATGAACACAAAGACTCAGATAACTTTCATCGACCCTATCGATCCAAATATACCGTCTTTGAAAAAGAGTAACGTAACAATAACAGGATCTATAAACGATGTTTATCTGGCACGTCAACAACTCATTGTACGTTTATAATTAATAATATTTTATTTAAAAATGTGTTTTTAAAGGATCGGTAATGATACACAAAAACATAAAATTCTGTTGGAAGCTGGGATTCCCGATTATGGCAATTGACAATATGACTTTGAGTTTGATGAAAGTTGATTATTTATGCTCCGTCTAACCATTTACGTGGAGTGAAATAATTAATAAATAATTACTCTAACAGATTTGATTATTTAAAAATGGATCTATTAGGCCAAGTTACGGTTGAATACAAACAATTATCGTGCACAATTTCAGATATAATTAATGTTAGCAATTTCCCCATATGGATACGCGCGTTGTTTGTTCCCTTAAAGATGCTATTTTTGTCGATACTCAAAAGTATCACCGAGTTCCACCGAGCATCATATTTTGTAGGTGACATCTTGGATGAACTACCTTTAAAAACTCTCAACCTGATATGTCCTGTATCAACAGTTGTAATGAAAAGAATTTTTCGGTTTTGGTTTACAACCGCTTATTATTATCGTTTATATTTTTTAGTTTAGAGTATCTGTCGTACATTTATCTGATGTATATGTCGTATCAGTTCGGCTTTTCTTTGTGCTGCCCGGCTAACGCTGGAAGACATGAATGTTTGAAATATTTGAAGCAGTTGATTCCTTTACCTACCTAGGAAGCGTGTTGTTAAAATTTGGAGGTAGTGCGGAAGGATATTCATACAATAATATCAGATATGGAGAAACAAACCATCTTCAATCAACCAAAACATTGACCGTTAAAATTATAAATAAAATAAATGATCTCCGGTATAAAGGAAAGCAAATTTTATTCTTATGGATAAGAGGCCACTGTTCATTGAAAGGAAATGAGAAAGCCGACGATTTGGCCAAGTCAGCTACCAGAAAATCAGAGATAGAAAAAGTGTTGAAAATATCCCATTACGATGCCATCAATGTTATCAAAAGTAGACCGATTGCACAGTGACAGAATAGATATAGATCATCAAGCACTGGACAATGGTATAAATCCATCTTTCCGAAAGTCGGATGCGTTCCTTCGTTCACCAAAGAAACGTTTGAAAGGCAAGCCATTGTTACAATAGGCAGACTACGGTCAAACCACTGCATCTGTAATGCATACTTACACATGATAGGAAAGAAAGACAGTGATCTGTGTACCGTATGCAACCTAATAGATAATGCGGAACATATAGTGTGGCATTGCAAAAAATATGATGAAGAAAGGAAGACTATGTTCGGTGAGATAGACCAGTGCGAAATAGCAAAACCTTATAATTATAAATTCTTAATATGTACAGAAGACTTCGATGTTTATCGGGCTCTGGTCGATTTTGTCAAACGAACTCGTTGCAGCTTATAAATAATTTATAACGAACAAATTAAAACATAATAATAATAATAACAAACATGGCTGAAGACAAAAGGTCAATGCAAAAAAAAAAAAAAAAACCATCTACAGACGAACCAAACTTCGGAACAACACAAGAATGTCATGTCCGTCCTATCACCAGAAACCAGGATGAGTGCTTTCCAAATTTTTGTGAACTGCTGCCTACGGCGGATTGCCGGAATATGGTTGCCAAAAACAAATGAGCAATGTAGAGCTCCGCAAAAGAAAGCTTAAGCTAGCAGCCACATGCTGAAGTATGCAAAAGAAAATCAAAGTGGGTAGAATATAAACTGAGAAAATGGGATGCGCCGTCGAGGAAAGAGAAAGAGAGAAAGAGAAAGAGAAAGAGAAAGAGAAAGAGAGAGAGAGAGAGAGAGAGAGAGAGAGAGAGAGAGAGAGAACACGCAAGAGCATCACAAGATTGGACTAAGCAAATGAGTATACGATCACTGGGAAAGGAACATAGGACAGTCAGGAAGTTGTATAGATAGGCCAAACGTTTGCAGCTGACAGAAAGGGATGGAAGAACTTTGTATTCGCCCTATGCTCCACTGTGAACGACGAGAATTAAGTCAAGTCAAGTATACGTCGTTTAATAAACGACTCTGAACATTTTACAAAAGGTTTCATTTAAATCGTAAAACGTAGTTTTCGAGAAAATTGGTAACAACATAGCTTTTCCTCTAGTACAAGCGAGCTTTAGGATATCCCCATTATTGATTGTAGTTTAAATCGATTACTCAGAAGTACCATCGAGTTCCACCGAGCTTTTTAACCCATTTTGTAGGTAACTTCCTGTACTAATTACGTAAAAAATCTCAACCAGACCTATCCCGTATCAAACGTTTTTATTAAAAACATATTGCAGCTTCGTCTAATTAGAGTTATAAACTAAATTTGACAATGATTCTCAAAAAACGTTATATGCGAGACAGATCTGGTCATCTGGTTGAGCTTTTTCAACGTAGTTGTCACCTACAAAATGGGATGAAAAGCTCGTTGAACTCGATGGTAATTTTCAGTGATCGATTTAAACTGAAATCAATGAGGGGACCCAAACCCAATAGCTCGCTTATACCCAAAGGAAAAGCTATGCAGGTTACCCTTTTTCTCGAAAATTACAAACACGATTTAAATGAAACTCTATGTGAAATGTTCTGAGTCGTTTATTATATTGAACAACATACACCTTAATTCTTGTCGCTCAGAGTGGAGCTGCACAACTCTTGGCCTCTCATAAATAATGGAAAATTCTTTTTATACGGGACAGATCTTGTAAGGATTGGTAAAGATCTGCCTATAAAATGAAATAAAAAAATTCGTTTGAACTCGCAGGCACTTTTGAGTAATCGATTTAAACCACAAAATCATTTAAATTTATTATGTAAAAAATTTAAGCAAGGTATTTTGAGATAGTAAAGTTAATTTTTTGATGTAACAAAATTTAAAAATAAAATAAAATTGTAATAATTTTTTAAACTGTTAAATTGTGGGCTAAAAATTAAAATATTTTCAAAAATGTTTGTAGCCATATATCGTTACCTTTTAAAAAAACTGCCCACAATTACAGTTTTTTAATTTTTATGTTGAATTTATTTTATTCATTTTTAATTTTTAAACGGGGTTCGATTATTTTCTTTATTTCCTAAAATATGGTCCCTGGCCTTTTTTTATGCTACCCTTCCATTCATATCATATATGGTGAAACATCACCGGCTAATATGTGAGTCATAAGGTCATTTAAATAAATAAAATATTTTTAAAAAAATTGGGCGATCGCAGTCTGTAAATGGACTTGAATGCCGCGAAAATGGGGTTTCTACCTAAAAGATACGATTTTTCCGGAAAAATAGACTTGTCACAAAAAAAAATATATTTTCCCGTTATCTATGCATTTTTCATCAAAATTAATGTCGCTTGTAAAAATCTACGTTAAATTGTTTAATGAATGAGTCAACCATCTACTGAACCCTTTCAATCCAAGTGATGGCCATTTCGCTGGCACAAACCTATAAATTTTAAACATTGGAAGATCTTAGAAGAATTTAAAAAATTCACTCTTAGTGAAAAAATTTCCGAGATTTAAAAAAAAAATAATAAAAAATAAAACTAAATACTAAAGATGAAAATTAAAAAAAGAATTGGCTTGTTTTCATAAATTTTACTAATAAATATTTTATTATTTATAATAAAATAAATAATACAGCTAACCACTGCAGAAAGTTCTCAAGTTCCTTCATTTCTTTCTATCACAGAAGCATTGCAGCGACAATTTACATCTAATAAAAGTAATTTAACTGCCAAATCAAAAGTTAAAAATTCTCGCCGAAACTTTTGTTGTAGTAGGAATGACAGTCAAAAGACAGAAAAATCTACTCGTTTCCCGATAAAGTCAATTTTTTGTACATTTTAATCTGTAGTATTCAGTTTCTGGCAGAAATACAAATTAAATATCCCCCATTCGCTTAAAACCTCAATTTTCCCACGATAATCGCAATTTTGGAGGTTTGTTCTACCATACTTCTTGAAAAAAGAATATTCCAACCATGCTACCAAGGATTTGAAATTTTATTGAACAACTAAGTTTTTGTGAAATTCACTAGTAAATTTTGTTGCACATAGTGCATATATGAAATTCTTCAAAGATATTCCATTGATTCAGTTTTATAGGGTTGTCTGAGGGAAATGGCAATCAGATATTGGACCAAAATTGTTCAGTAGATGACTTTTCTTTATACAATTTAGCATGGATTTTAAAAATTACCTCAATTTTGATGAAAAACTCTTAGATGGAAATTTTTTTAAAAATGCAAATGATTGATTGAACGAGTTGAAAAACTTATTTAGAAAAACTCATTTAACAATAAACACTAATAACTAAGTGTGACCCAAGAACAAGTCATCGGTGCTCCTGTGTAGGTCCAGGGTTCTGGAATTTAATGATGTATGGCACATCATTCAAATAGACCATGCAGAGAAGATGCAAGCCTTCACGTTTGCTGAAAACATGCTGATGGTTCCAGAAAAAGGATAACTCTAATATCTGTACTTCAGCTAACAGCAATATTACAATTGAAAAAAAAGGCTTTGCAGATTAACATATCAATCTAGAAACATGTAAGACCATATGCATCTCCAGAAGATGTAGGCTAAAAGAGAATAGGATTAGGAATGTATTAGCCTGAAAATGGTTCAGTTAAAACACCTTGGAATAATCTTTGACAAATGTTTAAAATGGAAAGCACACACATGTTCCAAAAGCTAATCAATTAGCAATCATTTTATCTAGGGCTGTTAGAAAATACTGGGGATTACCAAGCAAAAGCTTAAATACTATCTATAAAACTCATTCCGATGTGCTTCAAGATATATTTTGCAAACGTTAATAATTGTGCACAGAGATTAATACTACTGAGAGTAATTAAACGATACAAACAATAATATATGAAGCAGCATGCATCCGGGCAAGGAGAAATTCCAATAAAGCTTAAAAACTAGAGAAATAGTTGAAAAATATAAACTGAAGCATCCTGACATGGATCTTTTGCTAACCATCGAGAATGCATACATCCTCACAAGGAAGTTATAGGGAAAAAAGTAGATGAATGCTGTCACCAGATGAAGTAAAATCAAAGGAAACATGGGGTTATTACACAATGTTACACTAATGTGCAACAGAAATTATGTGTCCATGAAGGTATTGCGACTTGTTTGCTTCTCATAGTGACCCATAATTGATTGAAAATTTAAAAATTTGATTTTATTTCAGTTATAAATTGCAATGTATTTCAAAAAATACATATATAAAAGAACTGAAGGTTCTTAATATCAAGAATATGGTTTGATTTATTAAAGATAGCAAAATTTTATATATTTTTGTGACATTAAATTAATTAGTTTTTTATTGCATCACATTTGTTTGAATTGCTTATACAAATTCAATTTCATATTTTAAATTTAATTCTCAAATTCCAATTGTGATTTAATTGTTTCAACATTCAAGGGCTCTCTTCCTGTTTTATTTATGTTTGATGTTCCTGAGACCTCACCTGCAGTCGAGACAACAAGAATAAGTGACATTATGAACAAACAGAATGTCCTTATAACCACCAGGCATAAAGTAAAGCAGAATATAATAACATTTATTATCAAGGGGATCGAAAGGAACATTGGTAAGTCATTCGATCATTTAAATAATACTAAGATTTACTCGAGAGTTAGATAGAGCTCAGCAATATCCAATCTGGCATCCCACAAGAGAAAATTCAAGGACTTGTTTACTTGATATATACTGTTGACATTTCTAACCCCCCAGAATAGGAGCCTTTCTACTTTTCCTGATGATAAAGTATCCAAAAACTTTCAAAACCATTTGTAGTGCCTCGATGGATGATCCAAAAAGTGAAAAATTAAAATAAATATAACAAAGTTAAAATTTAAAACTTCAGACTAACTTAGACTAACTTCACACTTAGACCAACTGCACTACCAATTATTTACTTGAAAGAAATCTTGGGACTTTACCTAGACAAACAACTTACTTGGAATCTGCACACAAGACTAAAATGTAATGAACTAAAAAGAGTTACAAAGTATTATCACTACTGCTTGACAGTTGTTCAAAGGTTTCACTAAACTACTAAAAGTTGATATCAAACTTTAGGGGTTAATCAACCATTCCAACTCCAAACACATCAAAGATTCCATTCAAGTCTCAAGAAAAGGTGTTAATCCTCTTTTTTTTAAATCAAACCTTGACCTCTTGACCTACTTTGAGTATTTAATATTCCCATAGTTCTAGTCATAGGAACAGCTAATTCTAAAAAAAATCCATCAATCTCTTTTCGCACTTTCTAATGCATTGGTCCATCAGTTCAGTACTACTACAATCCCCGTCACTGAATTGCCAATAGCCATGCGATGTTTCTTTGCTTTTATCTTTGTTCTTTAGGAGGCTGAATGGATGAATACTCCTCACATGTTTGTACTTACCACTTTTTATTATTGTAATTACTTTATATGCGCAATAATACATTTAAAAAAACATTATTATTTAATATTATTTTATTTTACTTAAGTGTAATACTTAACCATAATAAAAACATTATTACAAACATGAAATAATTTGAAACATGGTTAACCTCATTTAAGTTACATTAGCTTTATAGTTTGGCTGTACCTTAATTTTTTTAAGCCTTTTAGGTTACAATTCTGTATACTTTAGGTTCTATATTCTTTTGTACTTCAGTTCAGCCTTTCAAGTACAGTTTCCAATCACTTTACAGTTTACCCTTGTAGTTTTAATGGGAATTCATTTATCATTGCTAACCTAATTTATGTTGATGAAGACTTAATTCAGGTTCTTTTGCAATTGCTAACCTAATTTAGGTTCTTATTCCTTTATAGTTTAAACTTCAAAAAATAATAAGACAAAAGTTTAAAATTTTAGCCTTTCATTGATTTTATAAATTTAATCAACTGATTAATTTTACTTTAAATTATAATGTAAGTTATTATATTAAACACATTTCCAGATTTTTAGGAAAAATCAAGAAAAACCAAGTTTACACTTATCTATCTTAGACCAATTAAAATTTTAAGTATTACAATCTGTTTTATATATGTATGTACATATTATAAGGGCCATGAATCATTTCAATTTTTATTAACCTCATTCAGGTTCCCATCCACTTTTAATGGTTTATTAGTTGCAGTGTGAAAGGCGAATAATAAGTTTATTTACAGATATATTTATATGTAAAAAAAGAGGTTTAAAAAAATATCAAAAATAAATAAATAAAATTTTAAAAAACCTTAACTGACGTAATTAACTTAATTTAATTCTTAAAAAAAAAAAAAAAAAAAAAAAAAAAGATGGAAAACACGTAGAGGGCCGGCGATGACCTCAGCTGTTTGTTGGCCCATAAACTTCCCACTTATTATTATTTTAATTCTAAAGTGGATTATGCTTCATACTTGTACTTTTTATAATGAAAGGCTAGCATAATTTACAATTTCATTATATACTTATGAGGATGTTCTCACAAGACTTTACAAATTTTTTCTATCATGATAATGTGTGTAGAAATGATTGATATATCAAGGACAGCGTGCACATGATCAATATAATCAATCAGCAGTCAGCCTGTGAAATGCAGCTACTATTCTAAAATTTATTCAGTGCAACTTGGAGTACTCTAAACTCAATACAAAGTGTGTCTTCAGTTAAAATTGAGAGCTAATATGTAAGCTGATGTGGACCATCATTAAAGGATTCATTAAAAAATCATTTTTTCATTAGGTTACAAATCAACCCAACCACTGCTAACCTCAGACAGATACACTTTACAGTTTATGTTAACCTCATTTAGGAGTCAATTTACATTACACTGTAACCTCATATTAATTTAAAATACAACAGGTTACAAAGAAATAAATCAATCTACCTTAACCTTAATTAGTTCCCATTTACTATAGTTTTAATCTACAAATACATATGTTTTAGTATTTTAGGTTACAACACAATACATGCAATGCTGAATACTTTAGGTTATATTTTTATTTGTAAATCATTTCAGTTAACCTTTCAACCTAATTGCTTCTCTATTTAATGGATTCTCATTAAGTTAATGTTTAAAACTCAGTAAGTTAACTTTAAACAGTATTTTTTACAATCTCTTAGGATTATAATGAAACATATTTATGGTTAATGCCTGTGATTATATAAAACTCAGGGGTTGATCCAGGTAGTGGTCTCATTGCTGAAACATTTGACCTCATTACATTTTTGAGCCTCAAAGTTTTTTATTGGCTGCAATACTCATCAATCACTTAGGTTAAAAATAATATGGAATCGGTATAAATTGTTTACAGTACAATGTTAACAGAATCATCAATTAACATTCATTAATTTCAGGATCAAAATGATCTAAATGTTTTCTTTTACGAGCTTATGAAAACTCATATTAATCTTTGCTTATGATAAAATTATAATAACAATGTTTTATTTGGTGATAATCTATAGTTGCGTTAATCATAGCTGCTTAAGATCTTTAAAACTGGTTTTTATCGCTTCAGGTGACATTTATGAAGCCCACAAAAGACTAATTGGATCAAATGAACCTTCAGTTCAAGTGGAAATACCGCAGAGCTATTTTATTCCCAATTCGAGTCCAATTTATAAGCCTATTTGTATGTATAAAAATTTAATGAAATTATTAAAATTCAGATTTGATATATTGATTTTATATTTGACTTATATAGGGAACTGCAATGATCCAGCACATCCGACGTACCAAAATTTAACAACCCCAGTCTTGCTAAGCCCAATGATTGGACGCTCTGAGCCATTATGGTCCCACATCCCACATTATATGCTAGCCCAACATTTAACATTGCCTCCATCTTTATCACCTCTCCCATACCATTCGGACCTTAACCACTATTCTTACAGTACATTGTCTCTTCCAGAATTCCCAGGTATTAAACAACATGCAATGTTTAAGATATCACATTTTAAAAGTTTGTTTTTAGTCTATTCGTCTATGAGCAGTAATGCGAGTAGCCTTTCGAGTTCAAGAACGACATCCCCCATACCTTATCCAGTGCCAGAAAAACCGAAACCAGGTAATTCATGTTGCTCCTGCTTTAAAATGATATATTTGACTCTCATTTTGTTTCTTTAGAATTGGCCACCTCCTGTGAAGAACCAGACCAATCGAAAATCCCCCCTGGCTTTAAACGTCCAATGCTCACTCACAGCGACTTTCAAAAATTTAAAATTCAAGCTATGCAAGGTAATTTAAAAAAGAAAGTGATGGATGTACATATTTAATTACTTACTCTAATTGCTACAGCAATGCGTAAATCACCAAATGCGACTAACTTCAGAGTTCCAACATCAACTTGGTCTGGCTATGGTTTCAGTCATTCTTCACCAACCTCATCTTTACTTGAACTGAAAACAAACAAAGAAAAAACAGTTAAGGTACTTACTTATTCCTGTATCTCCCTCAAAATGTGTTTAAATTCTGAATTTGGAATTATTGGATAATAATAAAAAGTAAAAAAACATATTTAAAATTATCTTTTAACCTAGTTAAAAAATTTAAATTTGGAGGCTTAGGTTAGTTTTATAATTGGTATATCTAATATTTTTGTGATGTAAATTGTCAGTTCACCTTTTATAATTTTTTAAAATATTCAACTCTTATTAAGTTTGACAAAGATAAATGGATGAGTGGGTCTGGAGAGTTTTCCCCAACACAGAGTGACACTTTTACAAGTAGCGTTTCAACTGAATGTAATCCTCTTGCATCGAGCAATATATATGACTCCATTACTAAGAACACACTATCTACAATAACAAGCTTGCCGATGTCTGACCTCTCAACCCTCCTTGTGAATATTGGACTGGAACAGTACATAAGTAAGTCCGGTCTAGATAAAAGTTTAAGTTTTATTGAAAAACTTAATTTTTTCCAGGATTGTTTGAATCTCAAGAAATAGACCTGATGACATTTAAGACGCTTACAGATCTGGACTTAAAGGAAATAGGAGTTAGTGCTTTGGGAGCACGGCGTAAATTGATGCTCTGCATAGCAGGTGAGCCCTGTTTATTTTTGGTTGTTTGGTTCATATTCAGTTTTATTTTATTTATTTCAGAGCTGAACAAAAGACAAAGAAGCCCATTCAGAGGGAGTGCAGCCCCGGGAGCCGAGAGGAAAAATCCTTCCACAAATAGTCTGAATGATTTGACAAGTCATAACTGAAGAAAGTTCATTAAAAAATATTTTTCTATAATGTGATTAAATAGCCTGGTGATAGCTATTAGTTTACTGATAATTAGAAATTAGAAATGTATATTATATTGAACAGTGTTCAAAACTGCATGGTATTTATTATATTGCATGTAGATCAAAATTATTATTGATAAGTGACTTACTAACTAAACTATCTTTATATTCTGTTCAGTTCATTTAATGAAATTTAAAAAAAAACTTTAAAAAAACTAATACCGAATGCAAACATTGAAACTAACATTAGGAAATGCAAAGGATTTCAATACAACAACTCTGTACACAAATTCAACTATTTTTAAAATATTTGTTTTTGCCTAAATCAGTTTTACAAGAAATCATGGATATTTTAAACAATCATCAAATGAGAAATTTAATAGTAGCATGTTTTAAACTATTTATAATTGTATTGTTAATCTCACTACGCTAGATTCTTATTGTAATTTATTTAATTTATTCTTATTTTTTATCTTAAATGATAAATTCGGTAAAAACCCCAAATTATTGAATCATTTTTTATGTAGTATTGTATAACTTTAATTTACAATTTTTCTTTTTTTTGTTTATTTTTTGTTTGCTTTTTTAGAAAATAGAAATAACAACAAGAAAAATTTTAGGATCTGTAGTCTGGCTAGAGTATACTATTTGTTTTTCCCTGTATGTTGTTAACATTTTAAAATGGTTGTTATTTATTATAAACTGAAATCTTAACTTATAATGTGAGCCCTAAAAGGAAAACTGATGGTCAATATATTTTAATATCGTTCATTTTAATGTGAAAACTTACTTCCAACAGAAATTATTTAAGAAAAAAGTGAAAAATATGTAAAAACACCAAAGCCATACAATACTACTCCAAGATGGTATAAGTCGGGGGGGTAAGTATATTGTTATTGTATGTTATTGGTACAAAAAATCTAACAAAATAAATGTATCTAAATGTTCTTAGAGTTTTTATTCAATCCTACCAATTCCCATTATGCATAATACATATTTGAAAAACAAATATTGGATAAAATCTAAAGACGCTGGATTCTTATTGAACTGAAATATGAAACCAACAAAATAATAAGTATACGTTTGCTCAACCAAAGAGGTAGTCTCACAACGAAGACTCACTCTCTTGTACACACACTCTTTATTTATTGACTAATGATTAACTCGGTTGGAATTTATAACATTTTTCTTAGCCCTGTGAAAGGCCAAATATAGACAAAAAATGGTAGAAAAACGAAATACCGGCACGTGGCAGTGTGGCCTAACCACCAAACCATCAGAAGTGAGAAGTGAGAAAAGCTCCAAGTGAACGTTTATTTAGTATACAAAGATAAAGACTATAAAAATCGATTTTGCTCTACAGGTATGTGTGCATGAACAACTATAAATTACGTAAATAAAATATTAATAAACATTGCAATTTGTTTATGATCAGGGATGCGGTCAAAAAGAAGTGAGTATTGTAACTGCTATGCCAAGTTGCAACCTTTATTTCAATGGTGTTTAGGGCTACGTTACATTGTCATAAATAAATTTGATTAGAATAATATATATAAAGCTACAATACAATAATTTATAATGATATTTTTAAAAACGATTAATCAAGCTTTTTAATTTTCTAAATAAATTTTAATCATTATCAACGATTGTTTTTAAAGTTTTGTTAGAGGTTTAAAAATATTATAATGTAATCAAATTTATTTATGATAATGTAGCGTAGCCCTAAAGATGACTGTAATAAAGGTTGAAAGCTTGGCACAAAAGTTACAATATTCACTCTTTGTGACCGCATCCCTAATCCTCAACAAATTGGTTATATCTTGATGGTAGATTCATCATACCTTGATTAATAAACATGAACAGCTCCCCATGGCCTCTTTATAAGTCGCTGAGAATCAAATCCTGATTATACATTTTAAAATAGGGAAAAAAAGAGGGAAAATTTGAAAATGTGTAAGTTTGAGACGAGGAGTTGGTGTCAGAGTGGATCGCAGTCACGAATGCTCAAGTGGTTAGAGCAGCGGCATAATGAGCCAAAGGTTATGGGTTTGAAGCCCACTCATGATACTAACTTTTTCATCTCAACAAAGACCTTAGATAAAAAGTAAAATTAATTGAAATAATATTTATATTCTTACTAAAAGTGAAAGGAGGAGATATGCTAATTTACGAGGTTGTTCAGTTATCGACCAACTTTGATTATAATCTGATTTGGGATGTTATTGGGTATGTGGTCCTTCAATGAATTGTACACTGTATTATACAGTTGCCAATCTTTCGGCTATATATTTGGCCTTCTTCAGGGCAATGTACGATGTCCCAAATAAAAATAATAATGTAATAACCATTTAAAAGTCAATGATTTAAAAAAAAACCCCTCTACACGTTTTTAACAGAAATTGTCAGGTTATAAAAAGTATCATACTTCTTCAATCTGTGAGATATGCTAATACAACTTATCCCAGTGATACCAACAGAAGTGCCTTTCCAATTTAAACGAGTGCAATTTCCAATTAGCTTTTGCAGTAAAGATTATGACAAGCCATTTCATAAAGGCTGCCAAAGCGGCATGAACAATCAATAAGGCAGGGAGTTCAAATGATTGAGGAGGCAGAAGAGCAGGGATGGCAGAGGCCAAGGGGAGCCATGCTGCATTTTGGAGTTGCTGTTCAGTCGCTTTAAGCTTTAGAAAAAAAAAGTAAAAATAAAAGTGTGTGATGTGATCAAAGGCGAAAAAAACTGCTTGTGAAGAATTCTTGTCAGGTGGTGCTCATTCAACAAGGTTCGTTACTCTATACTTTACATCTTGTCCAGTGAAAAGGATACCGAAAAATCCTTTTATGTTTAACGGTTATAGACTTATTATTTTATTTTAATTTTTATAACCATTTTAATCCTCAACGTCATAAATTTACGCACCCACAACGTTATATTATAAAAAAATCAGATACTACACTTTGATCTTAGCCAAAAGGCCGAGAAGCATAATCATTTTTCAATTCTTATTAATCAAATTAATAAACAAATCACGAATAATGCCGGTCACGTGTACAAGCATGTACACATCTCACACTTTACAAGGAGGTACAAATTTCTCCTGCATTGTTTGACCTAAATGAAGATAATTTTGTCGGTCTTTGTCTCAATGAGTTGCGATGGCTATTTAAGCTAAGAAGTGAGGTTTTGCACTTAAACTCGGCTGTTTGGATCAGAGGGGAATTAGGAATCTGTTCTTTGTGTAATTCGCGCTCTATTGAAACTGTATCCCACTTCTTGGCGGAGTGTTCAATCCTGGGTGAGATTCGGTTGTTGCATCTCGGATGTTTCACTCTCCCCAGGGTTGACCTGTTACGGTTTTTGAGTGGCTCAAATTTGCAGCCCTTAATTCGATACGCTAGGCATGCATGGAATTACAGATATGAATTAATTAATGAGTTTAATTTTTGATTTCTTTTGTATAACCTGTTTTTTTGTTCTCTTTCGCATTTTGGCAGTTGTTGTTTCTCCTTTTTTTTTTCTTTTTATTGCGTAGACTATAACTTTTATTTTATTACCCGAAACGTTACAATTTGGTTTCGTACAGTCCAATCTATGCTGTTCCATCCTTTTTGACAATATTTGTTTAGCCATTATATGAAGACCCACATCGTTTCTGCGTGAGTAATTGTTTTCTCAATCCTGTTTTGTTCTTTTATATGTATTACTAATTGTTAATTTTTAATATTTGATGCCTGTTAATAAATCAGGTCCTGATGATGGAAGAATATCTTTTGAAAGCTTGTCAAGAATGAAACAACTAAAACTTAGTTCTTCTTTTTTGACAATATTTAATTCTTACAGTTGACAAATACAGGGGTGTTTAGTTTTGGTCATTTCTGATCATTTTGTTCTGCCTATCCGCACTGTTTTGGCATTCAGATGCATTTTGCTTCTTTATTCTTCAGACCCTCCAATGGGAAACAAAAAAAATGCTCAGAAATTACCAAACTACAGTTTCATCACCCAGATGGGTGCTTTTTTATTTTTATTTCTTTTCTAATTTAATTTAATTTAAAAAAATTATTCCCCCCATCATCATCTGCCACACTAATAGAATAGAAAAGGTTGGTGGTTTTTATTTTATTAATTCCTTATAACGGAATGTCACTTTTGCACACCATCCCTTCATTAGCATCCAGTAGATCCAAATTAGACATTCTTTATAGCAGTATGGACATTTTTGTAGACAGTGGCAAAGGTTTAATTGACATAGTTTCTTCTTTTTAGTACGGTTGGAAAAGGTTAACAGGATTAAAAGGATAAGATAAATAATTGGAATTTATTCTGTACTTTGCTTATTCTTGAGTTGATAAAAATTGGAAATAAAGGAATAGATCTTGTTATGAGTGAAAATTTCTAGAGAGTATTTTTATTGCATAATTATTATTCAACTAATCTATAGGGAACTCACTTGCCTAAGCTATTGATGGGACTTGAACGGAAAACTCCCGACATAAGTTTCTGGCATCCATTAATTTTATAGCATTATAATTGGCAGAGGTGTATGGTCATAATCAATTAGAGATATCACAAGATTGTTATACAGCCTGGGAAGACTTGGTCTACACCACCATCCTTTAAATTTGAGAACATATTGTTTTTAGATGTACACAGACTGTGTTTTGGACCAGTTGAGTTCTTTCAAAGTTAAGACTGTAAGTACAAGATGGAATCAGATTTGTTGATGATGTGATTGTTTCATACACCTAAGCTTAGATATGTGAAGGGCCTTTTCTTTTGCAAAAAGTGCAGCTTTTGTTTTTGATTCTGAAATGCTAAAACTATTTAAAGAAACGCTGGCTTGATTAATAGCTGCTTACAGATCAAATAAAATAAGAGTGTTTTCATCTTTGCTGAAAATGTCAAGCTGGTGTACCGCCGAATGTCATAAGACTTTCTTTAGGACTTTATAAACTTTATTTATTATTTATTTTGTATTTCTTTTTTTTTAGAAACCTCCGCATTTCATTCAAAAATTTATTAAGTCTCCAAGACAAGTGTCCAAAATTTACCCTCTCCATACTGTATACTTTACTATCCTAGAAGAATTATTAACAAAATTAAAAACTCACCCTAATACAAAATACGATAGTAAATTTAACAAAAATTATATTAATAATGAATTAAGTAAATATACAAAAACTCTTGCAGTATAAACTAAACATTTAGATTTTAGAAAAAATTAATTATATAAGTAATTTTTTTTTTTAAATCTGAAAGTATTGACGTTTCTTTCTTATTTTGAAAATTGGGTCAAAGTTTTCTGAGCGTTCTGTACCATCCAGCTTCATGAAAGTTAGTTAACATTTTCCGAACAGCCCGATCGCACACAACCCCTAACTCTCCAACCTTGCAAACTGCCAAAAAGTGGAAAGCGGGTTTTAATTGCATTGTAACTAGACTTGGGATTTGTATGTAATTAATCCGTTTTTCAATAGTAGGGCCAGCTCGGAAGTTGATATCGATAGGAAAAAATTGCACTTGTTCTCCAATTCTTATTTGACAAGTAATTTACAAATTTACATAATATCCAAATTAGACATTTAATGTGCAACTGCTCAGAATCACGAAGTGCGGTATTGATGCAGTTAATCACTGATGGTCTTCTAAAGTTTTAATTGTTTTAAAAAGTCAGAAAACATCAAGATTTTATTTTAATTCACCTAGATATATACAGGGTGGTCAGCTCGTTGTTAAAAAAATGTTCCTTGATAGTAAATCTAAAATGAAGTGGAATGCCGCAAACCTCATGGTTTTATCTCAATCCGTTCACAAATTTCCATTTTTTTAGTGTTTATTTAAGAAAAACACGTTTCTTTACAATTTACAAAACCTGAATTTTCTCCACTCTAATGTAACATTTCCCAACTTTTGACTCCGTTTTTATATTTAGCACTGAATTTATTTTCATATTAGATCCCTTTTGTTCTAAAAATTGCGTCTACTTAGAAAATAACAACACAGACACCATGAAATTTGCGAAATGGTAATTTTAGATAAACTTCTTTAACATAATGAGTACTTAAAACATTAGCTCTTATTAACTTTTTTTTGTATTTAGAAAATATAGAAATATTACAATCGTCCTTTGTGATGGCTGATGAGTGATGAGTTTGGTGTTTTGTTTATTGTCAGTTAAAAGGAAAACAAAATAATTCCTATTATACAAGTTGGCTTAACATGGAACTAACCCGCTGGGTGTCGCGTCTGAAGAGGTCACACCACTTATACATACGTCAATTAAAATTCCACGGCTTTTGCGGGATTCGAACCCAGAAACGCTGATTATTAGTTAAACAGTAGGTTCAAAGGGCACGTACACAAAGTTTATATGCGTTGTCTAGCAGGATGTTCTGTGCCAATAAACTTTTACGACTCTGTTTACGTATCGCTAAATAATTCTTATTTTGTTTGTAAGCACATTCTCTCGAAAGTTTAGCTGAGTTCATCAAATCTGTTGGCAGAATTGAACAAGTTGAATTTATTAAATTCCAGGGCAATAAACGCCGAGGTAGTAGGAGTTGACAAGAAAAACACTTTTGTAATGTTAACTGCTTCGGGGAAATGTTTTGATCAAAAGCTTTCTTGAGGATAAACTAATGAAACATTACATTTGTAATTCTCCCACACACTCTCTCTTTCTCTCTCTCTCTCTCTCTCTCTCTATTTTTCTGTCTATCTCTCTTTTTTAATAAAGTAAATAATAATACAAATAATAAACAAACTAAATAGTAATTTAAAAAATAAAATAATGTTTTTTTAATGAAAATCTTTGAGGCTAATTTGTCTTTTTTTAAAAGTTTTTGGTTGTTATTAAAAAATAATTCCATGCGGTTTTTTTAGTTATTTAAAATTAATAAACAAAGTTTGTTAAAACAAAAACTAAAAAAATAAATTTTTAAATAAAACAATATTTATTCTTTCTCCCCCGCTCTCTCCACTTACTCTTTCTCACCCTCCCTATCTTCTCTCACACTTTTCTCTATATTCTCATTCTCCCTCTTTTTTAAACCAAATTAATCATAATAAAAATAATAATAAAAGTAATACATTTTTAAATAAAACCATACTCTTTATTTCATTCATTCTATCTCTATCTCTCTCTCTTTCTCTCGCCCTCTCTCGCTTTCTCTCTCTCTCTATCACCTCTCTCTATCTCCTTTTTTCTTTATCTCAATCTCACATTTTGTATCTACCTCTCAAAAAAATCCGCTCTCTTTCCTATCGTCTCCTCTTACTTCCTCTTTCTCTCCCTCCCCCTCCCCCTCTCACTCATTCTCTCTCCATCTATTTTCCCTCTAACCTAAATTTATCTCCCATCCATCTTGCTATGGATCATTTGTAAATGTATTTCTTTATGAAACTTTTAGGTTGGTCTGCGAGTTAGTATTTGTCCAGATTGGCCAAACATAGGGCGAATAAGATCATGTTTCGGACTAATTTTGTAATCTATTATTTAAAAAAATTTCAATGAAGGTGAAAGTTTGAGATACCAGCGTGTAATCAAAGTTTATGTGCTTGAGGTCTTGCACTGCATAAAGCGCACCAAATAAACTCCTGCTCAAAATTAACGCACCACCTTAATTTTTAAACAGAAATTCTTTTTAGAGAAATCCAGCTAAATCTCTTCATGTTTATTCTCTTTTTTATGCTTCACAATCCCACAAAAGTAAACAAGAATTGTTTACAATCGTGTTAATCCGCTTTGAAATGGATTTGGTAAGATACACAAGAGTTTCCTCCTGGTTTATTCCTCAGTTTCACTGCATCTGCTTAACAGACACCATTTCTTTTGGAAGTTTAAACTTTAATTTAGAACTTATGGCGCCCATAAGACATTTGAGTGAGCGTGAAGCCGTCAGAGCGATGACTCTTCTTGAGGAGGGCTACAGCCAGCGACAAGTTGCAAGAATAATTGGATGTCACCATACCACCATCGGAAGAACTCTCCAACGGTTCAATGAAACTGGCAGCAACACACGGAGGCCTGGACAAGGACGTCCAAGAGCAACGACCGAGAGGGATGACCGATTTTTGCGCTTACATGCCCTCAGAACGAGGCAGGTGACAAGTTCGGAAATGAGTAGCCTCCTTCAAAGCACCAGGAATGTCTCAATTTCGGCTCCCACTGTTCGAAGAAGGCTGAATGAGTTTGGCTTGAGCAGTAGACGGGTTGCTTCAGGGCCACTACTGACCAGAGACCACCGAGTAGCCAGGCTGCGATTTGCCCGGGATCACCTCAACTGGAGTTTTGATGCCTGGAAGAGAGTTTTATTTTCTGACGAAGTTAGAATCGCTCTTAATTCTCCAGATGGTCGTGCTCGGACATGGAGACGAAGTGGAGAAAGATTTGCTCAGTGCAATATTATTCCTCGCGTCGCCTTTGGTGGAGGCTCCATCATGTTCTGGGGAGGTATCAGCATGGAGGCCCGCACAGAGTTAGTCGTTGTTCCAGGACGGTCTCTAAATGCACCAAGGTATGTGGAAGAGATCCTCCAACCTCATGTAGTGCCTTTCGCTAGGAATATTGGACAAGGCTTTTTATTCATGCAAGATAACGCTAGACCTCACCGTGCGAGATCGGTGGAAGAATTTTTAAATGAACAGAATATTGAGCGGATTGAATGGCCAGCTCGTAGTCCTGACCTCAACCCTATTGAGCATATCTGGGATCAGCTAAAAAAAAGGATTAGGAGCCGAATACAACCTCCTAGCAACCTTTCGCAACTGCGCCAAGCGGCATTGGAAGAATGGGAGAATATTCCACAAGAAAGGGTAAAAAACCTCATCAACAGCATGAGAAGACGCCTGGATGCAGTAATCAAAGCCAGGGGAGGCAACACCAGATACTGAGTAATTAAATTTGTGTTTGAACTTAAATGAAAATTTTTGACCTTTTCAGTCTTTTTTATGGAATATTTTTTAATAAAGTTTACCGTCCTTTTCTGCTTTTCATTTTCATTTGTAATGTTTTATTATTAATAACCTACAATACTAAAAATAAAAATAACGTTCAAAAAACACCTGAGAAAAACATATGGTGAAATATTGAAGTGGTGCGTTAATTTTGAGCAGGAGTTTAGTTAGCCCGTTGAAGCGAGGTTGGGGTTGCTGGATGAAGGTGACTGGATTTCATACAGGCAACATGCTCTTAATAAATCTAACTTTTATTTAATTCAATCTTGGATATTCGACCCCAAAAAAGTGAGTTGTAGAGTGAGGTCTGTCGTCGTGCCGGAATAGCATAAATCGAGCTGGTAGTTGTCGGAATTTATCGCTTGCCCATCAGGAATCAATCGATATGAATCACGAAATTCCACCAAACAGACAATAAGATTTTTTGTCGCCCATTTCTGTAAGCTAATAGAACTTACGAAATAGATACACTTTTCCTCGTACGTTTACTAGCAGGAAAAATAGATAGGTATTTCAGAAGAGTTATACTTTAACTAATTGAAAACGCGTTATTTCATAAGTTGATAATAAGTTAAAAAAGCTTCATCCAATTTCCCACCACATCGATGTCTCTCAGGTCCGGCGGCCGGCCTGGATTTGAATTTGGCGGGCTCCGCCGGGCGCAGACGTGTTTGCCGAAAGGCGGCCGCTGATTGGCTGTTAAGACTATGATAATAGGGACGGCATCTCCGAGGCGGAGGCAGTGGCCGTTTAGTCTGCAAGTGCTTCTCGTAGTTATCAGTTTCGAGCCGAAACCACCCCCGGTGGATAGAAACGCGCGCAAGCCGCCCCCGGCGAAGCAGAGCGAGACGAGGAGAACACGGAAAGAAACTAGCCGGGCCGGTTCAACGGCTCCGAGGCCCTTCGAACTTAGATTCTCAACCCGTTTATGAGGATTAATTTCAACTATATTATAAAGGTGAGTTTTTCTGTTTCAATCGCGTGGGTTTTTATTGATTAAAACAAAGAAAGACTTTTGAAGTTTCGTTTCTTTCGTGGAAATTCAAAATCATCGGGCAAACCCTCTCCCAGAACGTCAACCTCAATTGAGGTTATCTTGCGTGCTTTATCACAAAGATACAAGGGTTGTCAAAACTTGACTTTTATAATTTCTCTACTAGCCAACAATAAAATAAGTTGAAAGAAACGACCTTAATTCTTCTGAAAATGAGAAAACCGCCGAAGAAAACGTGCCCGGCTTTTCGTAGTAAAATCTTTTATCGTAATGTAAACAAGATGTTGCCGACTGCATAATTCCCAGATAAAAATTGAAGTTTGTCCCTGGCTGGCTTCAAAACAGACAGATACGTGGTAAAAACGTTTATTTTAAAGAAATACTCGTGTCAGAGGTAAAATATTGACCTGATTCGGCTGCCGGGTTTAGGGGTGGGCAACAGCAAAAATCGATATTGCTCTCTTAAAATGATGAAATAGAAGGAATTTTAAGAGGTCGAGCTGATCGCTGTATTCTCCTTGATTCGATAATGAAAATACCATATGAGCAATATTAAAAAAAAAATCTAAATTGAAATCGACATACAAAACATTTTGATCGGTTCGAAAGCACGCAAGTTAGAGTTAGAGTTAGTTAAAACAGCGTAAAATATTCTCGTCTAAGGGAAATTCCCATTTTCAAAATAAATTTAAATTTAAATTAAGAAAACGAATTTTAAAGGTTTGAAGTGGCCAGGTTAATGCACCCAGTGTAAAGGTCTACATTATTTATACAGATAATTTTTTGAACCATACATTTTCCGAAATCCAATTACATTGCAGATTTCACAGTTACAAGTTGAATTGCTTAATGTTTTCACAACAAAAAATACAAAAAGTGATTTTGAAATCAATTTTAGAATTTTAAGAGGTTACAATTGGCCAGGTTAAAGTAAGCTTCCACGTTACGGAAAATTAACATTTTTAAACTCAAATCTGAATTAAATAAAAAAATGCCGCTCATTTTATAAGTAGGATCTGAATTTACGAAATAAATTTTAATAAGGTTTTCTATTTTATGGAGGAAAAAAGATGTTTTTTCTTTAAAGTAATTCCCTTAAATACTATTGAAATCAGTAAATCTCACAATTTTATGAGGCTTCAGTTGGCCAGGTTATAATGTAAGCATTGCAGTCTTCTAAGTTAAGGAAAGGAAAAATTTTCCCAAAATAAAATTTTACCATAAACTTGTATCTATCGTTATGTATCTGTTTTTATCACTAAATAAATTACTGTTGATAAACTACTTATTATAATACAAAATATAGTAAAAGCTTCAACTAAAATTACAAATTAAATGTTAAGAATTTTTATTAAATGGAAAGAACTTTTTCGTTTTGCTTTTTTAATTAATGTAATCAAATTTTAATGAGTGGCTGGGCTTGGCATATAATTTGGTTCAAATTTCTGACTTATTAAAAAAAAATATTTATAAACATTTATTAAAAAAATTACTAGTCAGGTTAATTTTGCATATAGCTTTCTTTTTAACCAAATTCATAATCTTTTTACTAAATTCGTAATTCTTTCACTCAAACAAACACACATTTTTCTCAAGCAATTTCATAATTATTTCAGTCAATTTCGTAATTTTTTCAACGCAATTCGTAATTTTCTCAAAGAAATTCCTAATAATTTCAACCAACTTCATAAACTTTTCATACTAATTCATAAATTTTTCACCAATATCCCAAATTCTATCCAATTTGTCATCTTTTTAAACAAATTCGTCATTCTTTCAGCGAATTTCGTAATTTTTTGAACGTCATAATTTTGTCACGCAAATTCATATTCATTTCAACTAACTTCGTAATCTTTTTACTAAATTCGTAATTCTTTCAATTAAAAACGAAATCTAAAAAAGATTTTGAACATAATTCATAATTTTCTCACGCAAATTCATAATCCTTTCAACCAAATTCATAATCTTTTCGTCAATTTCTTAATTATTTCAGTCAAATTTATAATCTTTTCAAACAAATTCATAATCTTTTCCCCAATTTCATAATTCACTTATTCAAGTACTTAGTTTTTAACTAAAATTTAGTTTGAAAAAATTAAGAGAAAAATATAGTGTGGGATACAAGGAATCTGTACATTGGCTTAATTTAAATTTAACAATATTCATTTTTTAATCGATGCATTAACCAAAATAAAAAAAAAAATTCAGCAATAGACGTTTACTTTTCTTAAACATTTTTTTCTCTTTAAATGAAGATATTTGACCAATTTAATTAAAGAAATAAAATGAAAACGAGTTACGTTGAAGTATGGCTAGAAATTCGAGATTTCTGGTAACCAAATATATAATTTTAAATTGGAGTAAGAAAATTTTGGGAAATCAATGTTTGAGTTAGCCCTGTTTTACATAATAAATCAACTTGGCCAATTATTAAAGTTTCATTATTTCGTCGTTTTAAAGCAATTAGAGATGGAGAATCCCTAAAAGGCTTACCTATTTAATCAAGAATTTGAAGCAAGATGATTCAATTGTGTTGATGCGATTGATATCAGCCGTAATAATATAATAGTTTATAAAATAATCAGGGATAAGGTGAATTTGAAAATAAAGACAAAATCTCTCCTTCTTCAAGTTTTCTGCGAATATATCCTTTTGAATGGACGAGATTGTCATAGCAATTGTATTGTGGAATGGGTTTGGTGGTAGATCTCGTCCACTCACTAAGCTAATCAAAAATTCATCATGGTTGAACCTATAATAATTGTTTATCCTATAAATATATGATTATATCAATTGTCAACAATTGTTAACCGTGTAAATTGTTAGAAATAGTTTTAGTTCTGATGAAGGAGATTCGCCTAAATTTTCAATATAATTAACATTATTTGACGAAAGCAAGTGCAAAAAAATTGCCACAAATACCCTACACATAAATCACAAATCTCATCATGACTGTAAAAGTATATTTTTATGCGAGGAAAAAATAGAAATAAAGAAATATTTAATATCCAATCAAAAGAAGAATACAATTTATAATAATTTCTTATAAAAATAATTTAAAATAATAGTTTTTTTACAACTATTGAAAGAAGAAAGAAGGATTCCAATTTGTTGAAAATGTTCCTCGTGACGGAGGTGGTTTCTTTCAAGCAGGAGGGTGGGAACTGGAAAAATAATACGGCTAAGTGATACAGCACGACAACTTGTCTAACTCCAGAATACACGTGTAATTTTCTGCTTGCTAATGGAAAAAATTGGAAAGCCTCATTTCAACTCTTAAAAAAATGCTTCGCTTAAATTACGTTCTTAAACCAAATTGTAATAATTCGATATGTGTTAGACCATGAGTAAAATATGGTTTCCCCTTAAACATCTTAGTACTTGTAATTTATAAAATATCTGATGGGCAAAACCTTAAAAAGTAGTGATAAATAAAGCCGGGGTAATGGGTGGATAAAAGAAAACTCACCACGTGGATAAAATATCACATCTGAGAAAAAAAAAATGAATCCCATATAGGAAAGCAAAAGTCTACATCTTGCTCAGTAAGCAGGAATTGAACCTGAACCTAGGTCTCTGGTCTTTTGTCAATTAAATATTTTGATGCAAATGGCTAATACTGACGCAGAAACTAGACTGTGGCAAGAAGCGGCAGAGCCATCGCATGTCCTATTTGGCTGAAGTTTAAGCCTAGGTTTTAAAGGCAAAATAAATGTACAAGTGTCACCTGAAAAGTACATAGATTCCTGAAAGTGTTCAGAGACTTTGGGTTGGACATAGAGGGTCTTTTCCATCAATAGATCTGTTAAAGTCGTGGTGGCGGAGTAGAGATCATCAAGACGCTTGCATATTAAAAAGAAATTCTTTTGATTGAACACTGCCGCCTGAAATAAAAATTGGTTATATTTGGTTTTAGTATTTCGTCACTTTGAAAAGGACACAACTGGAGATAATATTTCATCAATTAATGAAAGTAATAGTCTATCTTAAATGGTTTCATGCTTGGCAAATTATATTGGCAAATTTCTACAAATTCTAGTCTTCCCATCTTATGTTGTTGATTTTTTGTTTATGATGATTTTTCATCAAAATTCTAAACAGCTAAAATCATAACTAATCTTACTTGGTGTTTTGAGAAATTTGACATATACTTTAATTTTGAAATTATCGGTCGTCTTGCCATTGTTTGATGTGCAGACGGGTTAAAGCATTTCGATATTTTCACAACCACACTACAGAAGATGATTTCTCATCGAGAAAGTAATAACTTAGATGACATTAATTTTTGAAAATATATAGATAAATTTAGGAGATTGGTAGTTGGGTCGTATCAGAACATCGTAGTCTACTTGTCTTTCTTTTTTCATAGATTTCGCCTGTTGAACAAACCCCACTTTATATCATCAAGAAACTGAAGGACTAAGGTAACAACTTATGTTACATTATTCTTCAAAATATATAGGCAAATTTAGTAGATTTGTAGGAGGGACATTTCTGAACATTATGGTCTTCTTCTATCCTTTGGTTTAGTATATCCTCCTTTTATTGTTTATGTAATACATACAAGCTAACTTAATAAATTTGTAGTTTGGTTGTTTCTGATCATCCTAGTTTACCCGTCCTCGTTGATTTAGCCCGTCAGCAGCGACATGTCTGTTGCTTGTTCAGCCAATAGTATTGTTATGCAAGCACAAACCAATGAATAAGTATTAGCAGATATTTTTGTCACCCAGCACATCTAATCTCGCAACGTCAGTACAGTTTTTACACGAGAGAAATTTAAAATGGATCTGTGCAGCATATTTAATAAGCAGCCATTTGCCACAGATTAAAGTACACAATTTATGTGTTGGTTAACTGATCGATATGCACAGGCTTTGTGGTAGGTCAGATTGTGGGGTGAGGGCACTCGTGTTCTTCGTTAATTACTGATTATATTGATAGGTGGAATTTACTTTGTATTG